TTTAATTTTTCATTTCATTTTTAATCGTCGAATGGTATTTCGCTTGGATTATCTTCAGCATCATCATGTTCGGTTAATGTAGTAGGAGCAATCTTCGAAAAATTCTCGATCATGCTGGAAATCCAGTGTATTGCTATTTTCAAATGACCAGCTTGTGTTATAATATGAAATATCTTGCGATGAGGCTGATAAATTTCTCTTCGATCTCACCTTATCTCACCTCAAACTGATTCTGATTCTCTATTCTGATTTCTTATCCATAATATGTTTATAGCAAAATACAATGTGTTTCAAAATCTTGATTTAATATCTTGTATGGTATTTCTGTTCATTCAACCATTTAGCTTTTTGGAAATAAAGTTCAATGATTCAAAAATTCAAAATATTCAACCACAAGAAACTTCGACTTCGCTTAATTTTTGTTTATTAAATAAATAACAATTTAGAGGCAGAATGGCTTAGGGATTTGTTGTCCATAGAGCCAATAATGAATTTCGATAGGAATAAAATAAAATAACGATAAAATAGCGAATATTGAAAAATTCAAATTCAACTGACAACTTATAATTTTATCGCCAAATCTAACAGAGTTTATCTGGTCCGATGAGCTAGAAAAAGACCTATCGGGAAATAGTGCAAAAAGTAATATTTGGTCGATTAACAATTCATTAATATGATTTTCTATCGCCAAATCAAATCTTGTTCGCAAATCTTTTTTTATGAAATTCTCCACTGTAAGAAAAATTACTGTAATAATGGTTAGGTGCATCACCATTTTTGGTTAGGTCTACTTTGCTGATTATTAGTCCATTAAAAATTTTTATCAGAGAATCACTTAATGCAGCTGACTCGCTAGCACAGTACGGATTTTCTAATTATAGGCTTGTTTGCTTCTGTCCGAGCAAGACTTGAACGCTTGCCTTTTAACGCCATTATTCGCTTTGTTACCATGCCCTAATTCACTAATCTTAAAATTACCAATTTTAAACGATTTTTAATTTAAATCCATTTTTCGGACTGATCATTTTTAAGGCTGAAAACACGCTGAAAACAACCTCTCGGCAAATCTTTTTCGTTTGGGGATTTTAAGAATTCGGCTTTTTTGACTAAAAAAATGGAATAAATTATGCATATTGATTAGTAAAATATCATTAAATTGATGAAAAGAAATAATTTTGCATTCTTTAAGCCATCATATCTCATTTTTACAGATGTATTATATAAATGTAGAAAACTGGTGAGAAACTTGGAATGAAAACTTCAGCGAACCTAAGTAAAGGAAATTTAAGCATATAACCCTTTTTCAAGTCTTAGAAGCGAAAGCTTATAAGAGAGACTCTTATAAGAGAATTTCCATAAGCCGAAAAATTTTGTCCCGAAATTGTAATTTGGCACTAATAAATGATTTGAAAACTAAAAATTTATAATTTAATTTCTAATTTGATACGTTGTAGTATTTATTAATTCGCGAACTATAAGCTAGTGTTTTCAAGGAAAAAAATTTTTTTTTAGTTTCAATTAAACTTATTAATTATTTATAATTTTAATAATAATATAATTTTAAGATAATTTAATGCTGGGAAATTATAAACTGTATAAAATTTTTTTGTTTCACGATTAAATTCAGGATTAGCTGAAAGGTTTTGAGGAAAATTTTTTCGATATTCGTGGTTTAAGAACGAAGATACGAATATTTATCTTCGTAAAAGCGCTGAAAGCACGGCATTAATTGTTTCATAAACTTTGCTGTGTTGTTCGTTCGTAAATATTGTCAAAACAGCTTGTTTTTCGACATTTTCGACTGTATCTTACTTTTTTGCCGGAGAGGGAGAGCCAACCTAATCACTAACGGTGCGATTTAAAACTATCAGAGGAAGCTATTGTCAACTATCGTTTCCTATCGCATTTATCCTTGTGTGCTTTAAACCAAAATAAGAACAAATTTATCCGAAATCTATTAATAAGGCATATTTACTGGAACTTTTATATCTCTCTCTCCCTCTCTTTCTCTTTCATTTCTAAATTATTTATTGTTGATTATTTATTGTCCGTCGTATTTCGTATTTCTTTCATTTCATTTCAATACTGGTTTCTGTCGAATTTTCTATCAAAATAATGAAAATTTTCTGCGCTTCTTTCCGTTACTACATTAGGTCTATGAATCCTTTTGATTAAATCTTAATAACTTGGTAATAGCGAATCAGATAAGTCAAAAAAAGCAGATCATCTCTACTTACAAGCAAGCCGAGGAAAGGGGAATTTTTTGCCGGGAAATCATTTGGTGGTAAGAACAAACGTCACAGGCTCGCCAACATCCTTTGCTATTCATTCCTTTTCTATTTAACATTGTTATTTTAGTTGATTTTCGAAATAGATCTTTTATTTCGTTTTTTTCTAAATTCTTACAAAGAATTAATCACAGTTCAATAAAATAGCCTTTACAATACGGTACTATCATTCTATCGTTAATTCGTATAGGCTTTCTTTGCATTACTCGTTTTGCTTCCCAGCACGATTCATGATGCAAAATAAAAGGTGATGTATAAAAATTAACTTCGATTCGATAAATATGGTTTCAAAGTCGTCGATCTTCTTATCATCTTTATCTCATTTATCATTGTTATCACCATATCACTGTGTTACCTTTTTTAAAAGACTAATTTATCAATGATTTATTGTCTTCGATAATAAGAAATTTCAGTTATCTTTAATCAAATAGCATATGTTGAAGGAAAATTGTGAGCAATTTAGGAACTATAACTTTAATCAAAAAAGTTTTTCCTTGATTAACTGTGAATTTCTTTTTTTTTTCAATTTCTCGAAAATAGATTATTTGGCGTTCATTGACATAACTGAATTAAATAAGCTGTAAGTAAGTCAGTTCAAGTGTTCCAATGATTATTTCCAATTTGTTTCAATAATTTATTATTTTTTATAAAAATAATAATGATTTATTGTTGTTATAAATAATATTAAATGATTAAATGGAATGATTAAGGATACAGCGGATTCTGCGGAAAGAAATCGAAAAGTGCTTCATTTATTCACATTTACTTATCATTTACTTAATTTTCGCCTTTTTCTATTAGCAAGTAATCGAAAAGAAAAACGTTTCAATAAATTTTATGCAGTGCGGTGCATCTAATCCTAATTTTGCATCTCAGGAGGCAGCCAGAAACTTTCCACATCCATTTGGCTGAGGCCAAGCTTCCTTCCCACTTCTCGACGATCACAGTCCGGATCAGAATAACCTTAAAATCTTCCTGCCGGCTGCTGTTCGCCAACCAACTGTACTTCAGTCGTCGAGTGACTCTGACTGAGTCCTCCAGGTGCCATCAACCAAATGAGAAACGCTTCTTTTAAATATTTCATTTTACTATTATTTACTTCTTCAGTATGTTTAAAAATAATTTCTTTTTTCCATTATTTGTTTTATTATTGTTATTTTAAAAATTATGAAAATATTTTTATTAATTCTACTTATTGTTCTCTGAGTCCCTGATTCTCTTCCACGCCGCCTTATATACCAATTGTCTTTAAATGACTTTTCAATGGAATTTCACATCTCTGTGCTCACTCTCATTCTCTATTTCTGTTTTGTCCCTTCTTCCGTTGTCCCTACCATTTTCTTTGAATCCCTAACCAACCTCCATGTTGTACGTTTTCTCTCGCTATGTAGTGCAAATTCTCTACATATACGTACCTGTTCGTCTTATTCCAATCTCCTCGTCGCCTTTTTTTCCTGTTGGAAGTGTACTTGTGTAGTGGATGCTCCGGACCAATCGATAGGAGTCATAGGTCGACGTAATTCACCAATGAAATGTGGTGAATTATTTAAGTGCAAATTGCGAGCATTTAAAATATTTTATCATTCATATTTTTAAATGTCAATTTTTTAAATTGTCGTCAATTCGCGACTGAGGAAACTACCCATCGAGCATTATTGCTATTAGCCATGTTATTAACTATGAATTAAAATAGGTTTTATTATCAAAAATATGCGTTTTCTCTTCTATGCCCCCTTCTTAGTTCCACACTATCCAGGTTAGCAGTGGAAAAGGAGGAGGGGAATATTTTAAGGAAATTCAAAACGATTTATTGAAAAAGTTCGAATGGGAACTTTTTACCATTTCGAAAATAGTGGTTATTATAGATAATCGATATTCGCATTAATTTATTATCCATAAAAGTTGATATTGTTTTTAAAAAAAGTTCAGATATTCGAAAAAACTTCACTCCAAGGCATCTTCCCTCATAAGAGTCCCGCACCTCTTCTGTTTTGCCTTTCTCCTGTTTGTAAGTACCGCTTCCAGTCGCCGAGGGGTACCATGGTTTTTGCTTTGCAGGTCTACATTATGAGCGATGATTGTTTAAATTTTTCCCTCTTCTAAGATATCTCTTGCCTACTTTTTTCTTATTTATTTTTTTATCAAGAATACGCCTTGACCTGTGTTCTTCGTAAAGTCATCCTTTCGGCCGCAGATCCATAATGTTTCTGGTACCACTGCTGTTGAAATTCTTCCTTCCACTTGCTCTTTTTACCACGTTTTCTTTCTCTACTCTTCCTCATCTTCCTCAGCTTGGGAAATTCACCTTAGGTTTCTTTATTCCTATTCGATCCCATTTTCCCATATCCCATTTTTTTTATTTTTTTATATATTTCTCTCTTTTCTAAAATTGGAATAATCTTGATTTTTCATGCATTTTATTGGTGCCACTACTCTAAAGTTTCTAAAGCCGGTTATTATGTTAATCCATAAGTTAGGCTACTCCATGTCAAAGGATGCCACGTCGTTGGTATTCATCTCAAGTTTCATGGGTTCTCTTTTTGTTTAAAAGTTCATTTCCTTTCTTAGTTGTTTCTTTCATTTCCTAATTTTTTGTTCAATTTGTCGCATTTTATATTTTTGAGAGAATTTATTAATGTACTTAATGAAATTTGTATTTCAGATCAGTCGCAGTATTTTGTATTCCTGTAAATAAATTTTTAAGGAACAAAAATGGCCACAGCTATACTTCATACGAACGATATGCATAAGGAGCAATCGCCAACTGTAGGTTTTTTTACGTTTTCACCTAACTACATACATAATAAAAGGTAGAAGGTATGGTATATGGCGCGGTAGCATAACCTGTGTTTGATTAAAAGCAAAGCACCAAATATCCTGTGGAATGATAACGTTAATAACGTGAAATGAAGTGAAAGTATATGTGTATATGAAGCAATAATGTTGGCACATGGAAAGATAAGCTGACGTGTTATATGGTCACATGTGGTTGATTTGTATTTTTTTGTTGGGAAATTACGAAAATGTTATAAGCTATTTTTATAAGATTTATATAAGATAAGATATATTTTTATATATACATATTAAACGTTTGATGGCGTCACTTTCGCTTCAAAGGCATTATTATTTACTTGACTAATATGAACACAGTTAAATGACATGATAAACTTGCAACCACCTATGTATCACGTTTTTTTTCTTGATTTTTTGCACTTTATTCTTCAAGAATATATATTTTTATTTTCGAAATTTTTTCTGCTATTTTTTAAAAATCGGCTTTCTTGAATGATTATTCTTCACAAATATTTTAAAAGAATTATAATTATAAAAGTTTATAATTTTGCAGGCGATGTGTAGCGCAACAAATTCGCCCTTATTGCATGGATATTCGCCAAATCAACAACTTGCAAATTATGGAAATGCAACGTTGCCAGAAAATATTTATACATCACAACAATCACAACAGCAACAACAGCAGCATTATTCAGTACAACAACAGTCACGTAATATTTATCAAAATTTAACGCCAGAACCAGTTGGACCATGCAGTGGACTCGAATCAACGTCTTTTGTCGAATTAGGCGCAGTTAATCAACAACAACAACAACAACATCGTGTGACAGTTCAAGTTGAAACTCTAACAATACATGATCCATTCGAAGAAATTCCACGTAAACGGCCATGTAATTTTCAACGACCACCACCTTATATTAATACGGGAAATCCGTTGCATAGCGGATTACAACTTGATTTGCCAAGGTTTATTTTTCAATACTTTAAAATTCTGTAGTCAGTTAGTATTTTCTTCTTATAACAGCTGTTATTAGTGGTTAGACTGGCTCCGCTTGCTGCAAGAGTAAGGCATTTCCAAGCTGTCCGATCGGATGCCATTGCTGGCAATAATAGAAGCTATTCTTTTTTCGATCGCCTAAGTCCATATATCGCTGCTCTACCTATGAGTTCAAAATCTTTTCCGATTATATCAATCCAGATGTTGATTGTTCCACCTCGCTTTTGATACCATCCTTCACGAATAACGAAGTATTTGTCAACTTCTGTGGAGGGCAACAAAGAATGGCTTAACCGGATGTAGTCATGTGAGATTCTATTCGCTCGGCGAAAGCGCAAAATATATCTTAGACATGAGTGGCTGAAGGTAGATAACTTGATATCCTTCATTCTCATTGGCCATATCTCACAGCCACATAGCAACATCGAGGGAATTGCAGCATAGTTGAATATTGTAGGAGAAAGGACACAATCTTGGCAGAGTCAATTCTTATTTCGAAAGAGTCTTTCAGTTCCCCATTTACCCACGCTTATGTCTTCTTCTTCTAATAGCTCTCACCATTACTGGTTAGGCTGTTTCCAACGGCTACAAGGGTAAGACGCTTCCAAGCGGCGCGGTCTGATGATATCGTCGACAGTAATGGAAGCCATTCCTTTTTCCATCGTCTAAGTCCATATATTGCTGGTCCACCTATACGTTCAAAATCTTTTTTCACCGTATCAGTCCAGGTCTTGATTGGCCCACTTCGCTTTTGACGCCAACCACGGTTTAGCAAATAACGAAATATGTGTCAACTCCTGTGGTGAAGAATATGCCCTAACCAGCAAAAACGGCGCTCTGTGATAACATTATTTATGCAAGTGGTATTTGAACGAAGATGGATGCGATCTTGTAATATCTTATCCGCTCGAATATCCGATTCGTAACACATACATTAGACAAGAGTGGGTGGTCAAAGGCAGATAACTTCTTAATATCCTCCACACTCATTGGCCATGTCAGAATCATATTCGAACGGACCACGGCCATATAGATGCGGACTTTCATTTTTATGGTGATTTCACGACGTCTCCATAAAGGTTTCGTCAAGAACCCATTTCTAGCTGCCGAGATCCGAGTTATAATATCATCTTTTGCCTGTCCATTTGGTATTAGTGTGGGCCCAAGATATTTGAAATCGGGCACTTCCTCAACCGCAATGAATTTACAAAAGAGGCATTTTACCAGCTTCTTGCACATAAGACGAAAAGACTTTCGTTTTATTTATATTGATCCTGAGTCCGATTCTTGCTGCAGTTTCTGACAGTTTCACGTTATTTAATGTTACTTACATTTCATTATAACTGTCAGCAAAAAGGACTACATCATCAACGTATTCAAGATCTGTGATACGATGCTGTGGACTAATTCGGACACCTCTTGAGTCCCGACAAGCGGTATCCATTATCCAGTCTATCGCATAGTTGAATATTGTGAGGCAGCCTATGCCAAAAAAAATGGTTTAGTATTCGATAGTATGTCATAAAATATATTTGAATATTATATACTTTTAAACCAATATTTTAAATTTTTAAGAATTTCAAAGATGAGGATTTTCAGATTTGCTTCTGTCACATATCCTGATACAGCATATGAAGCAACAGTAGTTGTGAATAAAGCATTTATAAATATGGCGGCAACGAATGGAATTTGTTTGCAGCGTCGTATTTCTCATAACTCTACAGCATCACCACAAATGCGTAATAATAATGCTAATCCATATCAGAACCATATGCCGAATGGATTAACATCGAATTATCCACCGTTAACACCTCCACCATCGAATGGTATGCAACCTCCACATCCATATATGCCCACTGCTCAAATACGGCATATGAAAATCGCAATGCCACCACAAGCATCAACTTATCCCTATTGCCCACCAACAATTGCTGTTCCTAGTGTGAAAAAATCTATAACAAATGCGAAGAGAGTTAAATCACAACAGCTGAAGAATTTAGACGATTTACCAGCAAAAGCAGTGCGCAAGAGTGATTTTTGTTCTCAGCCAATTACAAGTATTTATGACCAAGTGAATACTGACCACGGTTAATCTGATTTTATTCACTTCATTTTTCTTTTCTTTTCTGATTTTGTGATTTTCTTTGCAAACTCTATATGTCAATCCATCCATCACAGGACCATCGACAAGTGGTACAAATCCAAGTTGTGCTGCGCCTATTATGCCATGTGGCGCTATAAATATGATTGATCGACAGTCACCTTCATGTTTGCAAAATCCGCAAATTCATCTGCATAATATGCGACAAGCCTATTCTTTCGAAAATGGCAATGTGAACTCTATACCAGTTCAGCTGTTTATTATCAATATCTATTTTTCTTTATAAAAAGAGCTTTTGAGTTAAATAGTTAAAGTTTTTATGTTGAAAAATTGTAAAGAAAGATTTCTGCACTTATTTCAGTAGGCAAAACGATGCTTTTTTTCTATGTAATAAAATTTCAAAAAATCCTTTTTTTCCTCTTTCCATATTTTGAGTTGAAAAACAAAAAAGCAAATTATGTGTTGTATTAGTCGATATCTTTTCATTCAGTTATTTTTCTTTTTTTTCTTTAAAAAAAAGGGCTCAAGGGCAAGTAAGAATTTTAATGTTTTAGATGAAAAATTTTTGTAGGAGAATAGTTTAATTAATAATTATGGATGGAAAAAAAATTAGAATGTTTGACTGAAAGTAGCTTATTTTTTTCAGCAGTTCGAAATGTCCAGCAATGTGAATAGTCCAAGCGCTGAATTAATACAACAATCACATTTGTCAACGATGCGTACAAATGGTTACAACCACATAACGAGAGGGGATACCGGAGATGGTGTAGCATTAACTAAACAAGAAATAGCGAATCATGGTTATTCTATGGCTCCGGAAGTGATAGCTGATATTCGTCCATATGATCCATCGCTTTTGGCCATGAAAAGTCCTCTTTATCAAGTAGGTTAATCAGAAATTAATTTTTTATCATTCGTTTTGCCTTAAATCTCGGATATTTAACTATTTATCATTTTATAGATATATATTTTACAATTCACTTTAAATTTAAATATAGATATATATTTTACAATTCACTTTAAATTTAAAATTTAAAGGCTTCATCGAATGGAGGAGCTTCAGGAATTTATGCCACCAAAAACGGAAATATAAATAATAGTCCAATTAATGTACAGCAATGTGCGGTTTGTAAAGAAGATTTTCGAGTTAGATTTTCTTTTAAAAATTTAAAATTCTTTAAAATTTAACTTTCTGTTATTCTTTCGTTTTCATATGCTTTTTAACTTTAGATTTTAAATTTTTGAATTTCGAGAAAATGTTGCCATAATTTTTCAAACTTCATGATAATCTCTTATTCATAAAATTTATCATTTAATTCATGATCAGATTTTGAAGCAAATTATTTTATTTTTGATATTAAGTTTTAGTGATTAAAAAGTGATAAATTAACTAAATTTAAGTTTGAGTTTGATGAATAAATCAAAAATAAATTAAACAATAGTTGTTTGATGAAATTAAATTTAATTTCAACCACTTGAAATCAATTTTCAGAACGAACGTCGTGGCATTCAATGTAATGGAAATGGTTTGGGTTGTAAACGCATTTTCCACCAGGTATTTTTATTTTTTCATTTTTTCAACTTATATTATTCGCTCAAGTTAACGGAGATTGGAGTAAAAAACGAGTAGATAAAAGTATTTGTCCAATCTTTTCCACACTGCAGGAAGTTTCGAAAATTTTTCTCTTCCAGCTTTAGGTACTTTTTCTAAAAAATTACAATCTTTTCTTTTTATTTGCTTTTGTTGTCGATTATCTTGAATTTTTTAAAATTTTTTTAAAATTTTAGGAATGTGCTCAACTTGCTCCAGAAGCATTTCGTATGGTGTTAAGCGAACCAAATGCTTGCTGGATATGTGATGAATGCGCTAGTAGGGCGCGAATTTAAATTTGTTTTATTTTTTCTACATATTTTTTACCTATTTTGATGTATTATTAATATTTGCATGTGTTAATGGGATTTTAATCATATTGTAAAGTTTTAGCATAAATTGAACATTTGACAATCTTTGTTTTTGATGATTGTAAAATAGTAAGAAATATGAGTAGAAATATTGTGAGAAAATCCTAAGAAGGAAGTATATTTAACATATTTTAACTTATTTTCTATATTAAACGGTATTGTGCTGTTCATGACTTTTGACTTACTCTGGTCTTAATTATTTTTAGAGTATCATTATGTATTTCGAAATTAGAATATTTTATTATTTCATCTGTTTAGTTTGCTATATTTTAGAGATATTTTGCTTTTATTTCGGGCTTATTTTAAAATAATATATTCATTAGATATTTATGCGCATTGTTTACTTGTTATTTTTTAAAACTATTTGGTTTATTTCGGTATTTATTTCGCGAACATTTAATTTAAACCAAAGAGTTGAATTCTTCTAATCTGATCACTTTTTCTATTTGTATATCAGGCAGCAATCGCTTAAATTTAAGCAATTTTCAAATTTTTATATGATAATAATGGTTTAAATTCATCAATTTAGTTCATTGTGAATTGTGTAGATTTTCTTTTCTTGCTAATCCCTATTCAGATTCTTCGTTTTTTCTATTACCCATATATTAATAAAAATAATAGTAATAATTAATAATAATAATAATTTATTTAACTAAATAATAAATGGTAAGAGATGATAATAGTCAAATCATCTTATCGGGTGATTAGGTGATTGGAATCTCTTGTCGATTATTCATATCAATTTTTTATCACTTAAAAGCAATGGATATTAATGTATCTTTTAAACGGATTTTTAATTTTTTAAATATTTTACTCAATTCATTATATCTACCATTATTATTATTATTAATATTAAATGACAATTTCTTAAATTTTTTTATTTTATCATATTTACCATTTCTTTTTTTGGCATTTATATATAAGCGATGAGAAATAATTAAAGAATATTTCTTTTTACGGGAGGTTTAAATGCATTTAATATTTACCACATATTCATGCTTTTTCTTGTGTGCATGAAGACGATGCATTTTCAAATCGGACGAAAAAGAAATTGATATTAAAACATTAAGCGACGATAGCGGCTTTCTTTATACTAATAATCGTCTTCTTTTCTCCTATCATTTTTCCATAAAATCTTATAAATTTCTTTTAAATATATGATATGTAATTTCATGAAAATTATATATTTCCATTTTTTTTATTTTGTATTGTGTGTTGTATTATTATTATCTATTATTATTAAATATATTAATAATTTGTCAAGAAAAGAAAATTTATAACATAGCCTAAATAAATTTAAATGAAACGGATTCTACAGCTATACAATGGAAATTTTTATTTGAATCCACTTTTTCCACCCCAACAAATGAAAAATTCCATTCTGCTTGGAGTAGAAACAATGATCGATCGGGAAAATTTTAAAGTTGTAAACAAAACTATAAGCAAGAAAATGTATAAAATACTTCGGTTTTTTCCCGTTTTCCATTTTATTACTTTCAAAATGTATAAATAAATTTGCGAAGAGCTCAAAAAACCGGTTATACGATTTCGATTTCATATCTAGTTTTTTTTAGCAGAAAATATAAATATTTAATAAATAGAAATACTCTATACAATAAAATTAAACCTTTTGAAAAACTGCTAAATTAGAAAGAGCAAAAAAAGTGTCGGAGCGATAAAGCCCATTGTCAGTCATAAATCAACTATAAAATTCGTATAACGAAAAGTGCTAAATAACGAGTCTCTTAAAAAATATTTCTTTTGCAATATATTAAACAGACCACAAGGATACGTACATAAATAAATACAGTAACCAATATTACAAGAGTACTGAAATTTTCTCGATTAATTCTATACAGTAATGAATTCGAAAAAAATCATCCTTATATGAATCTGAAAGAATCTCATTGAGCTGAATTTTTTCCATAAAAAAGCAAAAAACACAAAGAACTAAAAATATTTTAAAAGCTTAAATAATTAAATGAATATGGTACGATGTATTTGGGAGAACTTATTTTTTTATTTCCTTTCATCCAATTACAGCATTTTTGATCGTTCGAGCTCAATCTGTGTCCTTTCTTCATCCTCATCCAATAGCAGTTTATCAATGACAGACGTTGGAATATTGACATCAATCCATTTTAGATCTTCCTTCAATTTCTTTTTTTCAAAAAACATGACTGATCAATTTTGTATTACTTGCTTTTATAATCTTTTGCTTGCAGTGGAGTTCTGTAAGTATTAAGAAATTCGAAAAATATCTGGTGAATGAACTTGCTTGTTCTTGAAAATTCGAATCTAGAAGCTAAATCAAAAAAGAAACCTCATTTACTTCCATCAAGAACTAAATTAACTAAATAAAAAATATTATTGAAAAATTATAATTAAATAAAACCTTTATTTCTTTGTCGTGTTCCTCAGCCTCCTTTTGTTTTTCATTTTCAAGTCTTACTTCCGATTTTGTACGTTGATTGACATCATATGCTGTGAGGAAATTGCTACTGAAGAGTTCGTCTAAATTTAAACAATGATTATTTAGAAAGCGAAAATACTCAAATGTAGGCGAAAAACGAATGAATATAAACGTCGAATGAAAATATTGCAAATATATGTCACATATTTGAATTTTATTTCCGTATAGATTCCTTTTTTCTTTAAAGTGTATGAAATGACTTGATAAAGACCATTTTATCTATAATATAATATTTTATAATCTTTTCTATAATCTGTATTATAAAATATTATAATATTTTATATTTCATAAAAAAATAAATTACGACAAATTAATCTAATTTCCTAAATTACCTTCTTCATTCTCATCCTCAGAATCATCAAGCAGTGGTGTAAAAGCGTACCGCTGATTGTTTTGCGAAGGTCTCCACAAAATCATAATGACTATCAAAATAGCACAGAAAAGTAAATGCCAAAATGCAATATCGACCCAACTGAAATTAATTATGACTACGTTTACCATGTTAGCAAAATGAAAAAATTATCAAGCATTTCACAATAATCCTACCAATCTTGCCTTTTTAATTTTTCGCGTGACTTCTATTGTTTTTATTGGCGAATCATTCTAATTCCCTTCTTATGTCTTAATGACTTAATGATTTCTCATATACCCTAGTGATCGAGTAAATGCATTGCCATCTTAAAAGCACTTCCAGTGTTCCTATTGCAAGGATGTCTCGAAACTCTTAAAAATAATCGAGTTTTATCTATAGGGGCTGGAAATTTAAAGTCAATATTTTGCAGACCAACCCGATGATTTCTAAAATCTGAAATCAAAGGAACCGGAACTGGGCATTAAGTTAATAATGTTGAGTAACATATATGTGGAAATCTCTCAAAAATTTTCTAATATAATACTATATTGTCACTATATGCTAAAAATTTTCTGCCCTCGAGGACCACTTGAATCCGGGCGAAAATATGGGTGAAATGGATAATAAACATTTATATTCTAATATTCCAGGAGCCTCAGACAATTTGAGAAATGGCTTATATCAAATTAAATAAATATACTAAATTAAATATAGTATAGAGCAAAATTTTATGCATAGTGACTAAAATAATTCTTAAAATAAATAAATGCAAACTTACTATTCTTTCCAATAAATAAGGCAGTTTTCAAAATTATGAATATAAAATGTCCAAGTTAAAAATAAAGCACTTAAAATAACAGCAAAACGTAATGTATTGAAAAAATAGTGATACAGTGACAGTTTTACCTAAAAAACAAATAAATCTGAAAATTGAAAAAGAAATAATTTGATTCTATTTTCAATTAATAATAATAAAGATAATAATATTTATTTATCTATATATTGAAAGCCAAGTAGGGCGACAAACGCCATGTGATTGTATTAATAACAACAATTAAAATAATGAATGATAAAAAATTAAGAATAAGAAAAGAAAAAGAAACAAAAAAAGCAACAATTTAAAGAGGAAATAAAGAGGAAATTACAAAATAGTACAATATACTACAATTCGAAGTAAATGCATAATATATAATCGGATGGTAAAAATGGAGATTTTAAACTTTTGGGATGATGCGAACTTTTTAAACAATATCATATAAATGATATAAATGATATAACCTAATCTTTTTTTTTTAAAAAATAGCTAAGAATGAAGCAAAAACTACGTATTTTATTCCAGTAATTAATAGTACAAATAAAAAAGTCATAAGCCCTTAGTTTAGTTTTCACATAGGTTTTAGTAATTTTAGCCCAATACTTCTTGTTGATTCAAATTTAGCCTAAAATTATAATATTTTGAACAACCTAGTTATTTAATTCGACTTACTTATTTAATTCGACGAATTGAGAGGGAATCTAGGTTATTGAAGATTGTTTCTTTTATAATTAAAATCGGTTAAGAGAGGCGTCGTATAAAATATTATTGGAGTCCAATTATTTTGCTTTATTTGCGATATCTCGGGGAGTAGCAGGTAGTATTGTAGTGCGTTGTAGTCAAGAAGAGGCCGAATGCTTTGTACATTTTGATAAGAAAACCTTCGGTTTTGTTCTTAAACGAACGAGAACTAAAATTTAGTATTTTGAGGAGTTCTTCATCATTGTTATGCAGTGAAGGTCGAATTCGAGATTTTCATCCATGATTATTCCAAGGAAATGCGTGAGACTCTTCTGATTATATTACCATTAATAAAAAAAGATTAGAAAGATCGAATCCTTTAGAATTAATATGAAGAACGCTACATTTTTGGAAAGAAAGGATAATTTTCCTGTCATACTATTCTGTTAAGATTCTCCTCCAGTGGAGATAGGTTACCCATCATGAGAATAATAAATTTCACAATTATCAGCGTATAGATAAACGGTAGAATTTAGTACCACTTTGGTGATATCATTTATATATAATAAAAAATGCGATGGAGCCATATAACTACCTTGGGGAACGTCAGATTTAACAGGTGTCATGTCAGAAAAAAAGAATGTTGTTGACACATATAGCGTGATGACGACCTTTTATGTAATCTAACACCAAGGGTTAAAGCTATAACTAAAGCTATTAAGAGTGATCAAGAACTTATTGTACGAAGCAGTATCAAAGGCTTTGGCCAAATTTAAATGCACAGATAATACTATTTTCTCACTGTCAATTGATGCTGACCAATCGGAAAGATTTGCTAATCTAATATGAGAAAATGAAATTATTGGCATCAAAATAAGTAAGCGATTTGTTGTAAATCAAGTACGTTGCTACCAACGCATTAGGCTAATACGTCTATAATTAGAAGGATCATAAGTGCTTCCTTTTATATGAATGAGAATTATATGAGACAATTCCAAATTTTGGGATCAAGGCCAGCTAAAGTCCTTGTAAATTAAAAATAGGGGAAGACTCAGAGAAACTGCACATTTTTTATAAATTATTTGCAGAACACTATCCGGACCAGCTAAAATGGACGAGTTAAGTGTATTTAAGGGATTATAAACATCCAGTAGCGTTATCACAGAGAGAAGTGCAAAAAACTTCGATTCACGTTAAAACAAGAAGTATGAATATGAATGAAAGTATGAAGTATGAACTGTCAACAAATACACTAGAAAAATATTGATTAAATACACTTGCAATATCAATATCAGATGTGATCACATTAACATTATGTTGCAGCATTATTTGTTTACGGATATGAAAATTTTTTTGAAATGAAAGTCCAGAAACAATCGCTACTGAAAGAGACTGAAAGTTAAGAGTAAGTTAATTTAAAAATTACTCTTCGTCATTTGGAAAATAATTATGAATGGAGCTACTGAAATACTTTTTAAGCATTCTTTATATGCAGAGAGGTCATCTGGATATTTGGTTAATTTATATTTATTATAAAGCTTCTTTTTTAGAGATTTTCTTCTTCTTCTAACAGCTCTCCCTATTACTGGTTACGCTGACTCCGCTGGCTACAAGGACAACATACTTCCAAGCATTGCGGTCTTCATCATCGACAGTAAGAAGCCATTCCTTTCTCCATCGTCTAAATCCATATACCGATGGTCCCTTTATACGTTCAAAATCGTTCTTGATCGCATCAGTTCAAGTCTTGACTGGTCTTCTTGCTTTTGACGCCAATCATCACAGGATTTAGCAAATAATAAAGAAATATGTCCTAATTGCCCTAACCAGCCTACATTCTGTAATAACATTATTAAAGCAGGGAAGATGAGCGAAGATGAATACAATCATGTGCGATTTTATCGGTTTGACGGATCTGTAAAATATACGACTAGACATGAGTGGTCAAAGGCTAATGGCTTCTTAATATCTTCCACTCTCACTGGCCATGTCTCAGAATCATATAACAAGATCGAACGGATCACGGCTATATAGATGTGCTCTTTCGTTTTCATGATGATTTCGCGACGACTCCATAAAGATTTCGTCAACCGGAAGAACGCATTTCTAACGCCGTGATCCGAGCTGTAATATCATCTTTTGCCTGGCCATTTGGACCCAAGGTATTTGAAATCAGGCACTTCCTCAACCGGCAATGAATTTATAAAAAGAGACATTTTATCAGCTTCTTGCACATAAGACGAAAAGACTTTCGTTTTATTTACATTGATCCTGAGTCCGATTCTTGCTGCAGTTTCTGACACCTTACTTATTACTTGCATTTCGTTATAACTGTCAGCAAAAAGGACTACATCATCAGCGTATTCAAGATCTGTGATACGATGCTCTGGACTAATTCGGACACCTCTTGAGTGCCGACAAGCGGTTATCCATTATCCAGTCTATCGCATACTTGAATAGTTGAATATTGTGATGGAAAGGACGCAGCCCTGACGGACACCAGTTCTTATTTCGAAGGGTCAGTTCCTCATACACAAACCTGCGCCAGGGTATGCTAATAAAATGTCGTTATGAGCCGAATCATCTTCTCTGGGGACACCGTCATTCCAGCACTTTTAAGAGCGCTGCTCTATCAAGCGAATTGAAGGCAGCTGCAAAATCGACAAAGTGACGGTAGATCGCTGGTATTTCAAGCGATGTTCCAGCACCTTGTTTAGCATAAATACCTGGTCAACAACAGCCTCCCGGTCTTAATCCAGCTTGGTTAGAAAGCATTCTGCTATCTCGTATTGCCATGAATCTATTTATTTAGCAGAAGGAGAGCGAAAATTTTTCCGGAAATGTCTAGTAGGCTGATTCCTTGGTAATTGTCGCAATATGTCCTACCACCTTTCTTGAGAATTGGAAATAGAATTACTTTGCTCCAGCCTTCTGGCATTATTTCCTTTTGCCATAACAGAAAATACACTTGTTGAAGGTGAGTTATGAACGATGATGGACAAATTTGAAGAATTCGGTTCGAAGACCATCTTGCCCGGGAGTTTAATTGGCCTTCAGCTCTTAATAATTATAGAGATCATTTTTTTTATTGGCGGCTCGCAGTTGCAAACGTAAGGCTCAACGGAGAAATCGATTATATTTGGGATGGTGCATCGTAGTTAAGTTTGAGTTCAAAAAATTCTTTCCATCTTCTGAGGCGATTCTTAACAGCTTTAAGAGATTTTAGAAAAATGGGAATCGACCTAACGCTTTTTTTTAAAAGGAAATATTGTTCTATAAGATATAAATGATGATATTAAGAAAATTAACTTTTTTCTTTCCTTACCTAACCTTTTCATCAATAGAGAGTTAGACAAGATAAGAAATCCCAGTTTATTTCTGCATAGAATAAATGCAAGGATAGAAATAATGATTTCATAATCATAATGACAGTAATTCCTAGAAAATCTTGAAAGAGGTACATAATGGTCAAATTTTAATGAAGCATAAATGATATTGCGATACTATTAAAAAGGTTCCAAGAGATTTTAATATTGTCAACAAGAGAAGTAGAAGAGAAGAGAAGTAGCTAACAAACAACGTCTAATATCGTATTTTATATAGTTTAAGATCACCAACAATTTGAATGACAGGTTATAAAAATCCCTAGATTTCCATAGCCAAGCGGACAATACAGATTTAAAAGGGAAACATTTCTGTTATTAAGATAAATTTTAGTTATGGGAGATTCAAAAGAGGAACAATTATAACATAATCATATCATCAAAAGTTACAAATTTATAATAATCAGGAATAAGCGTGATATGCCCATCTCCATAAGTATTTAAACTATTTATTGTTTATTATTTATTGTTCTATCCTTGCGTGTTATTATAAAGCAGTTGAAGTTTAGTTCCCGATTATCAGTAGAGTCCAACCATGTTTCATTGATACAAAAAATACTATTTGAGAATACTATCAATTGGTAAGAGCTATAGGTCATAAAGTTTATATTTTAAACTTGCAGCATTAAATATATAACGATAAATTATTTCCTGTGTTATTAACCTTACTTGGTAAATTATTCTAAGCTACTGTAGACTGATAAAAAAAAAAAAAATTAAATCGAAAAATTATTCGTCGTTACAAACCATTGGTGATGCTGCCTGAGTTTCACTATTTGAAGATTTCTGACAACACATTTCTTTAGATTGAGATTCTAATTTCGGATATAATATTCTTTACGTAACTGTTTATTTATTTGTCTAGCAATAGTTCCCTTCTCTTTAAACCTTTCCGCAAGAAATTTCCATGGGGAATGATCAAATGCACATTCTTATTGCGCAAAAAGACATGCCATATACTTATCTTCGAGACGAATTTTGAGTACTCGTGACCCCTTCCTTCCATGTCGATGAACTTCCTTAATGCAATCAATCTTGATCACAGCGGTAGCTATTTTCTCTATCAAGAGCTTATCGGTAGTAATAATCGCATTTTCCATAGGTTTCTCCGAAATGTTTATTTATACTAACTAGACATGGCTCTTTTTCCTTTTTTTCGAAATATTCGATTTCCAACATTTGCTCAGATGAGATTTTTGGAGACTCAAAGTTGCCACCCAAAGACGAAGCTTTTAAATTATTAATATAATTCTTAAGTTCTTCGTTGTCCTTTGCAAGTATTTCGACATATCTAATTAAGCGCAAAATTATCTTACTGCTTTTCGTATTTCTCAATAATGGAGGATAGTTGTAATCTCAAATCCTCGACAGCTTTATTTAAGCAGTTGAGTCTTCGAAGTCGCAATATTCGTGTTGCAGTTGATTATTGGAAACGACTCCATTAGCTAATTTTTTCGGTCCAATTTGGAATTTCCTTTTATCTTATAAGTACCCGGTATAAAAAGATAAGAAAAGATAAGATAAGAAGATAAGAAGAACTTTTGAAAAAAATATTTTAGACAAATTCAATAAGAATAATATATTCCTTCTATTTTTTAGATCACAATACAATTTAGTAAAAATAGCAAAAATAATGAATTATTGACGGAGAGAGATGACAGACAAAACCGTTTAATATAACTAATAATAATGATTAATAATAATAAATAATAATAATAAACAATAAAATAAATGGTAAAGGAATAATAAAATCAAAAATAACGCAAAAACTCGCAAATTAAATCAGACCAAACCTCATTTCTTCGAAGTCGCAATATTCGTGTTGTATTACTCAGAGAAACAAATATCCACCAAAAAATTGCAATTTCGAGTAAAATAAGGGGCAAAGCAGCCAACTGTTTTTGCTTTATCGCTTCAGCATGATTCTATAATTAGTTGATAGTAACGGCACTGTTAAATAATTTAATATAGCAGTTACTTTTATCAGATATTAAATTTCATACCCGATAAGACCCATAAATCCATAGTTGAAATCCCAAAATTTTAATTAATTAATAGAATAAATTAAATTATTCGCTCCATCCATACCTAACTTTAAGAAAAAAATTAAAATTATTCATGAAATTGCCTATAACTCTATTCGCTTGCAATTTCGAACCACAGATATTTGCTTTATGCTCATTAAAATACACTCCCATTTATATTTCTTTATTTGCTGCTTTTAACAATATACAAGCATGGTTTTTTGTCTTATATGAACTGAAAGGAAATAAAAAAGGAACCTTTGATACCCTAGCCAGAGCTTCAATTGCACAGAAAACAAAATATACAAAACCTATTCCAGCAACTTGATTCATAGTATTACCCAAGCGAGGTTTCACAACTCCATATCCCACGGATACAATAATGATTAAGACTCTCGCCATAGTACGTTTTAAGCAAGAGATCAATTCCGCAGCCTGTAATTCAATAAAATTATAGGCAAATCCTTTATTTCATAAAGAAAAATCAGCAAAATAAAGGCAAATAAATATTAATTTTTAAAGCAAAATTCATTATTAATGTTGCTATTCGTAGTCGATATTTAGTGTGATTATTCTATCTTGGTTTAATTATGCTGTTAAAGTCATTTGTTTGCATGTGGCCTAACTTTCAAAATATTGCATAATTGGCGATTTCAACAACGTTAATCGCCATGTTTAATTCTTCTAACAGCTCTCACCATTACTGGTTAGGCTGGCTCCAACGGCTACATAAGATGCTTCCAATCGGCGCGGTCATGCCATTATCGACAGTAATAGAAGTCATTTCTTTCTCCATCGTCTAACTCCATATATTGCTGGTCCACTTATACGTTCAAAATCTTTCCTGACAATATCAGTCCAGGTCTTGACTGGCCCACCTCGCTTTTGACGCCATCCATCACACGGTTTAGCCACTAACGAAATATGCGACGATTCTTGTGGTGGACGACGAAGAACGTGCCCTAAACACCGAAGTTGACGCTCTGTGATAACATTATTTATGCAAGTGGTATTTGAACGAAGATGGATGCTATCATGTGATATTTTATCCGCTCGACAGATCCGTAAAATATACCTTAGACAAGAGTGATCAAAGGCAGATAACTTCATAATATATTCCACTCTCATTGGCCATGTCTCAGAACCATATAGCAAGATCGAACGAAGCACAGCTATAAAGATGCGGACTTTCGTTTTATGATTTCACGACGACTCCACAAAGGTTTTGTCAACCGGAAAAACGCATTTCTAGCTTTCCGTGATCCGATTTATAATATCTTTTGCCATTTGGTATTAGAGTGGACCAAATCTATTTGAAATCAGGCACTTCCTCAACAATGAATTTATAAAAAGAGACTTTTTTTTCAGCTTTTTGCACAAACGAAAAGACTTTTGTTTTCTTTACATTGATCTTGGTTAAGATTCTCGCTGCACTTGCTGACACGTTATTTACCATTATTTTGTATTTCATAACAACTGTCAGCAAAAATGATTACAGCGTATTCAAGATCTGATTTGGACACCTCTTGAATGGTGACAAGCGGTGTCCATTATCAAGTCTATCGCATAGTTGAATATTGGAAAGGACGCAGTCTAGAAGGACACCAGTTCTTATTTCGAAGGAGTCTGCCAGTTCCCCATATACACAGGCCTGCACTGACGTACGCTCATAAAATGCCTTTATGAGTCGAACGATCTTCTCGAACATCGTCGCATTCCATCACCCTCCAAAGTGCCTTTCTATCAATTGAATCAAAGGCAGCGGCAGAAACGGTAAAACATGTGACAGTGGGTTGCAAATATCTGAAGCGGTGTTCGGTGTTCCAATACGCTTCTTAACGTTAATATCTGATCAGCACAACCGCACGCTGGTCTGAATCCAGCTTGATTAGGGCGCATCCTTCTGTCTCGTACTTCCATAAGTCTATTGAGTAAAAGCGAAATAAAAACTGCCATGTCTAATAATGGAGAGGAAAGTAAAATTCAAGCAACTTAATAGATTTGAAAGGCTTCATACGCCCTGATCATCCTTTTCGACATGTCAAACTGTGGTTGGCTCGCATTGAATAAAATTTTGAGCTCATAAAAATTCTATAGGTTATCAATCAAATTTGCTAAGTTCGCATTAATTAAGACATTCTTTCGCCTCCAGTTATGCAGCTTTGAAAGAAGCTATTGGAAGCTATTATGAAACGCATTATTTATTCTGATGCTTAAAAATTTCTCAGTGAAGAACCTGTTGATTAGAGACCACACAGCTCCCTAAAAATATGTATTTTTTAGAATGCAAACTGGTGAATTTTGATCAACTTCTATTGCTTCTAGAGGCAATATTGGCTTCTAACGACACTCTTATATTAGTTGTGTATGCACAAATCATCAACGATCGAGAGAAGAAAAATCAACTCCTAATGGCAATTGGGGTCACTGGTTCTCACACATGTCGTCTTGCCTCTTTTTTATAAAAAACACCACGCGCCGCTTTCTGATGGACACGGGTGTTTAACATCATAGCAGTGTAAAGATAAAGAATGCGAAAACCTTCCAGTGGGACAAGTTCAAATAATTAACCTGTGGAGAAAGTTTGATGCTTGATCGACTTCATTTTAATGCTTTTAGATCCATTCGACTCTGCTGTTGGAGAGTATTAAAGCAACAATGCGAATGGCTTTCAATATTTTTTTTCTCCAAAAAGCACGATGATCGCAGAAAATACTTTCAGCGATTATAATTTACTTGGCAATTACAAAACCTTCGATATTTCTTGAAAACAGATGGTTTCTGTACCAACTGATCATAAGGCACTTATGTACGCTCTAAAATCTCGTCCTAGCACGATATCTATATTCATCGCAACGTTTACTTCTTTCACCAAATTAAAGAGAATATTGTTGCATTCTATGATTTAATTTTGTTATTGCTTATGGCTATTCATTGTGATTAATCCACAGTATTTTACTAAAGTTATTATTCATTTTATCCGTATGTGCATGCAAATTTTCAAAGTTCAATTACGACTATCATGACTATGCTATGACCGATTTCAATGATCTTTTTAAAAAATATTATTTATATTAAGCAACAAAAATAAATAAAAAATGACTTCGATAAACCCATCAACCGTGCTGCCGTTCATATTCATAGTAGCATATTCACTGTAAAACATTGTCTTTTCAACCATTCCGATAATTATCACAGCCCCTTGAAATAAATTGCATGAATCATGAAAAAATAAATTGCATGAATCATGAATCATGAAATAAATCATGAAAAAATCAAAATTTCAATTATAGAGATAATAACATCAAATCGCTAAAAAAATATAAAAAGTATTGCAAAGTGACTAATGTAAAATAAAAAATTATTCATTAACAGCAAATCATTAATAGTGAAAAAAGAAAAATAAACAAAAGAAATTTTCGATTAATTAATCATTTGAAAAAATTTCTGTGAAAAACTTTAGTAAAGATTCTTAAGATAAGCGTATATTTTAGATGAAGAAATTCCTTGTCTATAATTAATTGTTAATCGACAAGAACCATGAGCTAAAAATTATGCGCTAAAATCTCAGAAAAAGCTCAGAAAATCGAAATTCTGCAAAAAACTATACAATCAAGAGTGAAAAATCTGAAAAAAAATTAAAAACATGATAAAAAACTTTACCAATCCAGAACTGAATTCGTAAAATATCTTTCCAATGTTTTAGACACATAAATAACCAAAGAATAGCAAGAATAGCGTAAATAATGCACATCAAAGCGTAAAATCTAAGAAGTGGATAATCAATTGCACTAAGATATCCATACGGTCCTCGCCACTGAACATCTATCGTTATATTATGACTTCGTCTATCAGATGGAAAATTAATAACTGTATATTTCAAAATTAAAAAATAAATACCATCCACTGGAAACTTTTGTACAGGATGCCAAGAGCTGAAAGAAAGCGAAAATATCTATCAAATATTCTAAAATTTAATAAAAAAGCTATCTAAAAATTCAGGAAGGAATAAACAAACCACTACATTTTCATTTTCAAAGCCTGCAAGTTTAAGTGAAGCAGACCATAAAAAATTAAAAAAATACAAGGTAAAATTGTAAAAAACCTATAGGCCAAAAGAACACTTTACCTCAAACTCATTTTTGCACCCCCATCAATTGAATCGCCATTAACACCAGCGTATTCACGTTTAGTCCTCGACATTGCTACTTTCTTCATCGTTTTATTCGACTGAAATTTTGTAAAAAATCTGTAGATTTTGTAAAAACAAAAAACACTATAAAGAATATTTTTTCACAAATTTCAGAATATAAACGGATTTCAAATTCACAAACAGCACACCTAGGTCCTACGAAATCACAATTTTCCTCTTCTTCTTGTATCGATGAAACAGATCTAAGGATATAATCTGAAGGTTTTAAGTTTTCTCCATAATCTGCATGCATTTTTATCTTTCTCTGTGGCTTTACATTTCGATTTGAATTATATAAAAAAATATAGCTTACCGTTACACTAACAACATTGTGAACACGCATGGGAACATGGGGTGTCTGATCATCAAATAACATTACACCATGCGAATCTTTACAGCTAAACCGTTGAATTTTCGATTTATAAAATAAAATTTCATTATAATCATAACCATCAGGTATTTCATATTCGTGATCAAAATAAAAATTCTAAAATAAAATTTTGCAAAAAAAAATTTACTTAGAACCGAAAAAACTTTCTACAAAAAATTTCAAAAATTTTTATCATTAATCATTAAATTACATAAATAAAATAAAATTATAAATTTCACAAATTTTATAACAAAAAACTGACCAAAAGTTCTTTGACTTGTACAAGTCGATTAATATCAAAAAATTCTTTATCACACGGCGAACTTCGAATAACGAATTGGACATCGAAAATTAAATCGACATCTTCTGCACACCGCAGTCTTATTTCGACTTCTGTATCTTTCAGTGCCGACTGAGGAAAAGCTATGTATTCTATCTGAAAAAAAGAATATAAAAAATCTGAAAATCTAAATTTTTTAATGTTGGAACTTCCTTGTTACAAGAACAATCCGACAAACGCAACTTCATTTTTTACTTCCTAATGCAGTTTGACAGTCAAGAGAAGGGCTTTATAAATCAAAAGTATCCTAAGTAACAGTTACTAGCCGAGTAATCAGTAACACAAATCAAATGGATGCAAATGTGCAGCGATAATTTTTAAATAAAATAAATTAACCATATCAGGTTTTAATCCCAGGTCAGAACTAATGATTGCGGGCGATAAAAAGTGTCCATTTGATAATGCAGCAAAAAATAATAAAATAATACACACAGTATATTGCATAATCTGAAACAAAAAAGAAAAAGAAAAAAAGAAAAAAAACGATAATTCATTTCTTAGTCCACGGATTTTCGAAATTCGTCTGTTGTCGAATAATCTAAAAAGCTTTGTAAATAAATTTCAATATTAATTAAGAAATAATTTAAATTCATATTTGATAATTCATAATCTAAATGTAAACACTGAATTAAACAAAGCGTTGCGAATGATCCAATACTTGTTTTAAAAAAATAACGAACAAAAAGACCAAAGCGATGAGAATAAAATTGTGCATTGCTTTTTATGAGTGCTTTTATCACTATGATAGAATGGTTAATGTTGCTCCGTTCATTATTCCGTTCATTGCGCGTTCTTTCCATTTCTTTCAATACATTGGTGCTTTTTTCTAGTTTAAGACGACCGTTATGAAGAAATGACGACAGAACACCAAATAATATTGTATGCGATATCATGCAGTACTTTTTATTCAAACGCGCTAGTGAAAGTGCACAGACAACACTGCGCGAAAATTTATTTCAGTGATTAATGGAACGAATAAAGAAATTACGATATTTGAATTTAAGCTAAAGATTAAAAATTTGCATTAATATAAACATGTAAAGCAAATCTTACTTTATTTTTCCCACTTTTAACGAGTTCCGTTCAGCTGGCCAACTTTTTTCATAATTAATGGACGAAAGGGGATTTCGACACTTTAGAAAGGTTTCTACATTTCTTCTACTAGTTTTTGCGATTTAATAAATCTAAGTGGAAGTTACAAGCTGTATTATATTCCAGAAGCGAATGGGATAAAAAATTTATATATTTTGATCAAAAAAATTTCAGATTTATTCTTAAATACTTCTCTTATACTTAACGAATTGTCTTAACATATGCTCCAATACATGGCGATGGTTTTAGCCTTATTTACGCATCATAAACACCTAATAAATCAATTTTAATCAATTAATATTATTAATTCGTCAATTATCATCAATTTCACTCATAATCACGTCGCCATTTTCTTTTAAAAATAATTATTTGTTCTGCTTTAGGGATAGAAAATTTATTTCTTACGTGGTTCCAGAAGGGAGTTGAATTAGCAGATTTTAATATACTTTCTTCTTTAAACAAGAAGAATTCATGAAGGGATTTGCGGAAATTTTTTAAAATATTCTTTATATGATGCAAAATCAATAACAAACTTAGTTAGTTTCCATTCACTGCACAACTTTTTAATGTTCTTCACAAATTTCAAGCGAATGGAGATTTGTTCTCTGTGCACTTTTAAAAATGGGATATACTGGTTAATCAATTTGTTGCAGTAGAATTCAGAAAGTTTTAGAAAATTGAAAAAATATTGCGAAAATTGAAGAGAATTTTTGCTCCACAATTTAGGAAATAAATTTTAATTTTTTGAAAATTCAGAAAACTAACCTTTTGATCCACGGAATTAACAGCTGACAGAGCTAACAGAAGAGAACATATGGTCCCAATTTATTCTGGCGATAGAGGCGTCAATGATAATGTAAAAATGCCAGTAATCTCTTAGGTTCTAGATGGCTTAGTTTTTCGTGTAGCATAGATAACAATGTGTTCATTGCTATTATAAAAGGGCTCCACGATAAATTTATCAGGTCGGTGGGTACGGTACTATAACCAAATCAGTTATTAAACCCAGGCGCCTCCATGCGATGCTGTTCGGTCCGGTAGAAGTTCAGATTTAAAAAACATTCCTCATAAGTACTATTAGATATATTACGACCTTCCAAAATGATCAATTTAAACATAGGTTAATGTAAATTCAATCGCAGCAACAAATTTAGCAAATTTATCTTCACAGCATGGATTAAGGTTTGGGTTCGAATTGCATATATTGTTGTGGATGAACTATTACAACTAATAACTGATCAAAACTAATAACCGATTTTTTACGTAAAGCTTTTAACTAAACTAACTAAGTAACTAAGTGATTAACACGATTCACTGCTAACTGGCGCGACTTCGTTAGCTATTAGCATAGTTAGCAATGTAAGAGGTACCACTACACCACCTACATAGATACACCACCCATGAAACTGAAACAAAATAAAGAAACTGCTAGGAAAGATTGACTCCCGTTGAACTCTCCGACTAAAAATTGGACAAAACTTGGCAAAAATAGCCAAAATAAAAACTTTACAATTCATTACTTTACAGCAAAAAATCCGAGTCCAATAAAAAATTAATCAAATCGAGTGTTCATCGAGACGACCACATCCGCCATTTACGAAATGTCGGACGACTGGATGCGAAGGAAATTAACTCTGCAATTTAAAGCACTTCTTCGGCGAAGTGTTGTCGCCACAACTATTTATTGCCACAGGGCTAGCAGGGCCTGAGCCGAATTTCGACTAAAAAGCTGGTCGTTTGTTGCACTTAATCATCATCACCTCATTGGTGATAAAAAATTAATCCATTCCATACAACCTTTATCTTCATTTACAAATATTACTCGTCATCACAACTTTAAAATTGAAATTATGCTGACTGATTGATTACGATTTAAGAATGCAAAAGGTTGCAATATAAAGGTTGCAACAACCGATCGCTGTCTTGTAATTTGGTCTACATTATTTGTTATACACGGTGAGGTGCTGGCTATAGCTGCTTGGCTATGTCGGAATGCTTATTGATGTCGCAAGCCAAGCGATCACTGTCCACACCCTTTCTAAATACCGCGTCGATGTGGCTTGTTTGTCAGAGGTCCGTATTCCTCATGTCGGCTCTCGAGTAATTATTAAATTTGGTTCCAAGCAAAGATATATCACTGTTTCGAACAACTCGGAGCGAAATGGCGTAGCGATCGTCATGTTTGAAAAAACTCGATCCATTCTCACAGAATGGAAGTCAGCAAATGACCGTTTGGCCTACGCGCGTTTCAAGGGAAAGTTCTGCAATATTTCGATCATCCGTTTATATGCTCCAATGCTCCAATTTTATGCTCAGATGACCGAGAATAAGTAAAGGATAAGGATGAGTTCCATGCAGAGCCTCAATATCTAACAACATCTCTACTGGGAGATGGTCGTAATCGGGGAAGGGAAGAAGTTGTCATAATCGGGGAAGACTGAAATGCGAGGTAGGTTGTTTCGATGAACACGATAATTGGCAAACATGTTATCGGGGTCCAGTGCCAATGGAGAACGCGTTCTTCATTTTGTTGAAAAGCATGAACTCTTTGTTACTAATATATCATTTCGGAGGAAATATCTAATCACCTAGTTCTTCGGACAACCAATATTCCAATCAGATTATTGGTACTATATTGGTCAATCACCGCTAGAAGAGTTCTGTACTTGATAATCATTCTTATCGGGGGGAGGGGGGGGGGGGGGGAGGGAGGGCTAAAACTGGTAACGGCCATGAATTAGATGTTTGTTTCGAGCCAAGATTCGTATAAAATAACAGGTCGTAAATCCTTTCCCCTACAGTATTCAACTATGCGATAGAAGGCATAATGGACACTACTTGTAGGCACTCAAGAGGGATGTCCAAATCAATCATCGTATCATCTTAAATACGCTGATGATGTAGTCCTTTTTGCTGACAGTTATGATGAAATGCAAATAACGACAACTGCAGCGAGAATCGGACTCAGGGTTAAAGTAAATAAAACGAAAGTGTTTTCGTCTTTCGCCTTAAACGAAAGTGTCAAGATGTTGACAAAATACCTAATTTAATTCATTGCTTGACTTTAAATGCTTTGGATCAACTCCAATCCCAAATAGCCAGGCAAAGAATGAAAATGTAACCAGGATAACGACAGAAATATTTCCGGTTGATAAAATCTTTATGGAACCGTCGCAAAATCACCATAAAGAAAATCCGCGTCCAAATAGCCGCAATTCGCTCGATCTTGCTTGCTACATGGCTGCGTAATATGGCCAGTGAGAATGGATATTAAGAAGCCATTAGCCTTTGGCCACTTATATCTAAGACACATTTTACAGATCCATCAAACCGATAAAATCGCATATGATTATATCCATCTTCTCAGCTATCACCTCCATTAATAATGTTATCATAGAACATCGCCTTTGCTGATTAGGGTACATTCTCCGTTGTCCACCACAGGAGTTGTCGCATATTTTGTTACTTGCTAAACCCTGTGATGGTTGGCGTCAAAAGCGAGGATGGCCACCCAAGACCTGGACCTGGTCAGAAAAGATTTTGAACGTGTAAGGGGACCATCGATATATAGATTTAGACAATGGAAAAGTAATGGCTTCTATTACTACTAACGATGGCGTCGGACCGAATAGTTTGGAGATCTTACCTTTGTAGTTAGTGGAGCCTAACCAGTAATGGTGAGAGCTGTTAGAAAAAGAATTTAATGTACAAATTACGATGCTAACAATAATACAATAAGCAACGGTTTTCCGTTAATCATTCAGCCGCAACATTGCCAAAATCATAAAAATAAAAAGGAAAGCAATGAAAATAAATAAAATAAAAACTAAGAAAATAATTACATAAAACAAATGATTACGAAATATTAAACAAGAGAATTGCTCAACATTGAATAAAATAAAATATATCACTTTCCCTTCACTTCCGTTACTTCCATCTTCATGATGCAATTAATCTGAAACAATGAACTTTTTGTTTCAAAAGAATTTTATCGAATAAACCTTGAAGCTCGATAAAATTGAAATCCACTAGGCTCTACGTAGATTTCTATTCAAACATGATCATGGCAGAAAAAATGGCAAGAAAGATCCATCTATACTCCCACCTCGACAAGTGCTTCACTGGCGAAACTTGTCTTATGGCCTATGAAATGAGCCTAATTGATTACTAATCACCAATTACTGGGGAGAATAGAATGGTTCAGTGGGTTGTTGCTCAATTCAGATCTACGATGTTAAAGTTCTACTCTCCGAAGGAATAAACATGTCCAAAAAATCTTGGTCATGCTGCCGACTCACCTGTGCTTCTAGAGACTCTTTGCCATATTTGTCTAGTGCAATAAGCCATCGAAGCGAGTCTAACCAGTAGTGGTGTGGGCTCTTAAAAAAAAACCACTAATTACTTTTTACAGTGGTCAAAGAAATTATAAATTATAAATTCCACAGCAGAAAAATATAGTAAGGGTTAAAAAGTTTTTAATGGAATATTATTTCAATACAAACTGGATACTGAATTATTCAGTTGTCAGCAAAAATTTATTTCTAGCATTAACAAGCACAGGAAATAGAGAAGTAGTGAAATGTCAGAGAAGTATCACGTAACTGAACAAAAGACAGAAGCTAAGAATACAATCTTCACTGCGACACGTTCATTAAAACATTTTTCAATCCACTAAATTACGAAATGCAGTTTGTAATTTTTCGTGAAGTTCTTCGTAATCTTTCTTAATTTTCTCTTCGCCGTCTTTTACTGGATCCTGCAAAAAAATGAAAAACATTCCAAAGGAAAGATGCGATTCTTTCTGGATTCATTTCAATTGAATATCCAATAACTTGTGTGAATTGATAGGTTATACAAATTGCATAAAAGAAAGCCTTGAATTTCATTGAAGACAACTGATAGATAAGATCGCCCATTTGATCACGAATAATAGCCCATGTAATCTTGTTCTCAGAATGCAAACTTCCCTCAACTGCATGGCGAGCAAGGTCGTAAAACGCAATCCTAAAAAAGAAAAATGATACTGAGCAAGATATGCAGCAATTTCTTTTTTCTTTTTCTCTCCTCGAATAAAATTCTCTCATTGATTTCCGAGAGTCTTTGAAAATGCGCTTAAAACAAAACAATCTAAATTTCTAATATTTTAAAAAATAAATCTTGCACCGATCTAACTAATAGAAATAATCAATTCTTTCTTCATATAATATGACTTCAAAATAAAAATATATATAAGTAAAAATAAAGTTGCAAATAAAAAATATAAGATTCACTATAATAGGAAATGGAACATTGAAATAATTTTTTATAATTTAAATATCTTGCGACGTAAAAAAGTATTTCAGAAATTCAAACATTATTTCTTCAAAAAAAAAATTTACATATTTTTAAGCATTCCGACAGTTTTATAGAATGGGCAAAATCGGTCATAGGGACTATAACCGTTTTGTTGAAGAAAATCATCCTTAATTATCTTAGCGACTTCGAGAGTAATCTTATCTGATTCGGCTAATGATGCTTTGCCGACTAATTGGACAATCTCCGAAAGATCTTCTTCCTCCTGCAATCCATATATTAAGAAATATATGTAAGAAATCAAAATAAAATAAATAAACAAAATAAATAATAAATAAAATAAAATAAATAAATTAAATAAATAAAATAAATTAAAATAGGAATTTACGAAGTCCAAAACTTTAAAAAAGAACCTGGAGGATTTCTTTACATTTAGTACGTAACGCAACGAATTCTGGGAAATTCTTGTCATAATAATCATCCAACGCTCGCATATATTTACTGCAATGGGAAAATTTTGTATTTCAATTTCAAACTTTCTATTATCTGAACCAAGTTTTAAGTCGACTTTAAGTTTTCGACTGCTAATAATATATTGTGTTCCAAATTTTTATTAACAAGCAATACGTTCACGTTCGATGACATCAGATAGATATTTCGTTGCTATGGGCAACTTTAACTTAAAACGGCTAAAATTTATCGAATAAGCATTCATTGTTATCATTGTTGTTAAGCAACTAAGTCTAATAATCAATATAAATTTTAGCTCCGATAAAATATTTCCCTTGTACTTGTACCTCTTTGCTCGCAACCACCCTTAATCTAGAAAATAGGATTAATATATTTATAAAAATCTAGATGAATCTAGTCCTTATTAATAAAAGATTTCATATTTCTATAATATTTACCTACAGGTTTTACTTATTTTTTTGACAAAATGAACTAATTATGAATACAACTATATCATCATTTTGTATGATTCCAATTCGTAAAACTGGAACGTTCAGTCTCGCAATACAGTCAATTTTATTAGTAATTAGCCTAACACTTGTAATATTTCTTATACTACATGTTGATAAAAAAATCCTATTCAATGAATCCATTACAAATGATTTCAAGCATAGCAACGACACATTCGATGACAAGGTAAATTTTCTCAAATAATATCAAAAAATTATTCACGCTAATATAAAATTTAGACCCAAATTTAGATCCTAAGCCCATGAAATTTACTTAAATCAATTTCAGGTAAGTCAACTTATCGACGATGACAAAGCGAGAGCATTGGATTATCTCGAAAATGCCACAATACAGTTCGGTAAACCTGGTTTCGAAGTAGATCTAATGGAATTAATTCGAATTTCAACAGTTGTATACATCGGTGAATAATTTTTCAAATATAAAAATTAGAGCTGACAAAGTACTTAAAATAAAATATTTAAAATAAGAAAATTACAGTTAATTCATACTGGAATATGCACGAATTTTATCAATAAAATTATTTTAAAAAATATTTAGGAATGTGCATACTGTGGTTATTATCATTATTTACGCTACTAGCATCAATAAAATTAGAATCATTGGATTTGATTATAATAAATTCAATCGTTTTATGCGTTCAAATGATATATGCTATGATACATGCGCTATTTATATCAATTCTCTTCTTCTATTACGTAAAGCCTATTTTTTTTGAATTTGGCCTTCCAGAATTATAAATATTTCTACTTATTCGAAGAAATTCTATAGGATGATGTAAACTGGAAAAGCTGGGTAATAACTGCAGCAGTCGTTATGGGCACTGTTATAACATCATTATTATGTGGTCTTGCACTGGCCATGAATATTGCATGGCACAGATATATAGTGTACATTAATGATAATGATGAGGTAGGTTCTTCTTTTATAAAAAAAAAATATCGAAAAAAAAGATTAATCGAAAAATAATCAAATTATTCGATAAAGTCTAATTCGTCAAGTAATATTCTTTCAAAAATATATTGTTATAAAACAAAAATTGTAAAAAAATGTATTTCCATTACTTTTTTTTACTTTTCTTATTTTTTCCATACTTATTTCAACATTTAGTGTCAGTGTATTTCGTCTTGCACCAAATTCATTAAAAAAACAAAACAAAAGCAGAGAACAGCTAATGACTACAGTATACCAGAAGCGACAAATTGCGCTAGACTACCATATTCAGAGGAACCTGTCATTCAATCGTTTAGCCAGTTCTAGAAGAAAAAATATTCCAAGTTTTGGATAAAAATAAATCTTTCATATAAATATATATATATATATTTAAATACATTATGTAAAGTAAATTAGTGTCATCATTTTTTCTGTCTAAATATTCAATCTAACGAAACATTATGAGCTAGAAAATTGCCAAGAGTGACTAAAATTTTCAACAAAAAAACCTGTATGAAATAAGCCAATTGATAGACGGAAAATGTTTACGCTGCGCAAGCTTCTTATCGAGACCCCAAAACACCTGTACAATTCCTAGCGTTGCAGAGGTAACAGGATCAGCAAAGTCACCACCTGGAGGTGATACCCTATAATTTAATAAAATATATCTTAATTAAATTAAACATAGTCCGAAATAAACGAATTATTATATTAAGCTTACGCTCCAACGATAGTGACAGATCCTTCTCTTTCTGGATTACCGAGACATTTAACTTTACCAGCACGCTCATAAAAGGAAGCAAGACGGGCTGCTAAATAAGCTGGATAACCTGAATCAGCTGGCATTTCTCCCAAACGACCTGTAAAATAATTGATTAATTGGTTTCTCAAGTTGGAAAAAAATAAAATACCGAAATAATTTTTTCATAACTTTATAAAAAAATTTTTGACTAGAAAAATGTTTATAACTCCATAAACTTTGCATATGAACAAAAGTAGAAAATAATGTTGATGTAAAAAATAATGTCGAAATAATGTTAATAAATAACGTCACATATGTGTTGATCTTTTATCTTTTAGTGTTATTATGTAAGAACTCTTTCACGAAATGATGAAAGATAACCGGAAATTTCTCGAAGAGCTTCAGCCCAACGAGACGTCGAATCAGCCATCATGGAAACATTAAGACCCATATCTCGGAAATATTCGGCCAGAGTAATGCCCGTATAAATTGAAGCTTCTCGAGCAGCTACAGGCATGTTTGATGTGTTTGCCACTAATGTTGTTCGCTTCATAATGGATGTGGCAACACCATCCACTTCCATAGTTAATTCGGGAAAATCACGAAGTACCTCAAGAATAGTGCAATATAAAGACCTCTAAAACCGGAAATATGGTTTGATCGGATGGCAAGAAATTTAAATTCTCACTTCTGACATCTCATTACCACGTTCACCACAACCAACATAAATAATCGCATCAGAATTAGAAAACTTTGAGAGGGACTGCGATATGACAGTTTTCCCACAACCGAAAGCTCCTAAAATAAAAAATTAAATAATCTATTGAATAAGGATAGATTAAAATAACTTAACTGAATGAATTAATATATTTATACAGGTTCAAAGGTTCAAACTTTAGTCAATTTATTCACTGTTCAAGAAAATCTGATCTAAAATTTTATTCTAATAATCTCGCTGATATTTTGTTAAATAGTATATTTAATGGTATATTTAAACTGGAAACCTGGGATAGCTGTGGTACCGCCTTGAACACATGGAAACAAAGCATCAAGAACTCTTTGTCCACATAAGAGTGGAAAATTGGCAGCTAGTTTTTCAGCGCAAGGTCGCGGCTGACGTACGGGCCAAACTTGCAACATAGTAAATTCAGACTTTTCGCCGGCAAATTCTGTTTCCAAAATAATATCCTAAAAATAATTCTACTCAATTGAAAATTGCTAGAAAAATCGAATCTACATAGTCGAAAAAAATTAGAAATAATTCTACTTGCCGAAACAGTGTATTGACCCGAATCTGCTAGAAACTTAATAGTACCACAAGATGTTGGAGGTAGGAGAATACGATGAATGATCAACTGATTTTCTTTGACACTGCCTAAACTTTCAAAATTTTTATAAAAAATCTAATATTCTTGCAATACAAGACAAAACAAATTTTTATTTGTTATACATGCAGGAGAAAAAGATATGCAATTATATATATTATATTTGCAATTTAATAAATTAAGATAATACAAACCAATAATATCTCCTCCAGTAACATGATCTCCTACTCGAAGTTTTTTATTTGGTTCGAAATCCCACCGAGCTTCCCGCGAGAGGGCATGAACATTAATACCTTAAATTTTAAAATAAATTTATGCAAAAGTTATCAAGGTAACTAAAAAATTTTCAAAAAAACTTACCTTTTGGAATATAAATCGAATTTGTAACTTCGGCGATATCTTTGAGTGGACGTTGAATACCGTCGAAAATGGACCCCATAATGCCGGGTCCAAGTTCAACAGATAATGGCTTACCAGTTCGCAAAACTGGATCGCCAATTGTTACTGCAGCTAAAAGAATTTCGAAATGTTTTAATCGATTTTCCATTGCTTTCATAATCTTTATTAAATTATTTATTATTAAATGAATTTTATTAAATGATTTTATTGAAATTTTAATTTTGATTTTTTAATCAGATCTAAAAAATTTACATGTATCTTCATAGACCTGAATTGTGGCAAAGTCCCCTTCAAGTCGAATAATTTCACCAACCAATTCCGAATGACCAACACGCACCAATTCATACATAGCTGAACCCGCCATTTTCTCAGCAGTTACCACTAAAAACAATGTTAATTTAAATTGTCCATGCTTTCATTTCTGTTCCATTCTGTTCTGTTCCAATAAAAAATTTCCCTTTACAATTGTCCGAATCAATATAATTGTAAATTTTTGGGTGAATTTAAAGCTTACCAGGCCCAGAAACACCATAAACGTAACCATAATTCTCTTCTTTTGCATCTTCAACAAGTTTTAATGTTGGAGGCATTGACCAAAAAAATCAACCTGCAAATAAGGATGAATCAGAACCTACTATAAATGAATTCTCCAAAAATTTCTAAGAAGTCCCAAATAATAACTTTGCTGCTCAAAAAAAAGAGATTTCAAAAAAAGAAAAAAAAACGCAAGTCGAAAATAAATCTAGGAAAAATGAAAATTTAATGATTGTTTTAAACCATGCATCCCTTAATTGTTCATAAATTCTTTTCTAGAAAACATATTCTGTCTATGTATTTTTATTTATGAATTTATGTCAAAAAAAAATGAAAATGAATTTATAATAAATTACATTATAAAGACAATTGTTACATTGAATTTTAGTCAGAATACGAAAGAAAGAAATATTTTTTCATAAATTCACAAATATTTTAATCAATATCTATGAAATCCATTCATGCTATCCTATGAAAACTCTTCTATATAGACTGTGTTTTAAGAGCCACTGCGCAAAAATAGAACATCTTGGATCACCTCTTGGTAATCCGACACCACGGAAGCTCAGCAATTAATTGTTTCCGTTATTTTAAATAATGAAAATACTTAAAACTGAAGGATAAAAGATAAAAAAGGGACAGAGTAACAAAAAACAATATGCCGTTTTCATAAGTAGATGAATGAAGATTTTATTCTCAAAAAGTGTTCACCATTTCTGGCTAAACTCGTTTTATTAGCTTGTCGGGCTAGATAAATTTTGCCGGAGAGTCACTTGGAGAAAGAAGCAAAGGTGAACTGCCAGTATCATCAGAATTTTCTCAGATAACAGATAAGATTGGCCCTGCAAGGAACAGAATCCAAGCACTGCTGCTGAACACCAATAACCCATTCACCTATTCTCTTCCCAACAGATAAACAATAATAATAACAAATAATCATCACGAAATCAGCAATTATAAAATGCTTCGTTGCACAATTCCATTTCCCGCTTGAGAAACTGTATTTTAATAATTATAATTAGCGGAATGAAACTCGATTTTACAGCTGGAAACAAAAACAAATAGAAACATGGAAAAAGGCAGAAAAACAAAAAACTTGTAATGTGAGATTTCAACTAAAATTATCCATTCCGACATCCGTCTTCTCACCTTTTTCCCGCTCCTTTCCTTCGAGGTTCTCCCTTCTTCCTTTTCCTCAACCCCTCAACCTTCTTCTTCCTTTAATAATGAATTTTACTGTCATAAAAATATCAAAAACGATGAAAAACCGAAAATCGTTGATCGCGAACCCATAGAATGTCGTGTCAGGACAAAATATTCAAAAAAGTTGAAAATAACAACATGATAATATTTGCATTCTCTATTTTCCATCATCCATCTACCAGATGCGAAACTCTTCAGAGAGTCATGTTCGCCGTTATAAATTTCGTCGATTGGTTTTCAAGAACCTTTCATTTTTATATAAAAAGCCAGAAAAAGTTGGGGAAAGATGAAAGAAATTGAATGCCAATTCATTCTAATTCTGTATTTTGAATGATTTTAGCATTAAATACTTTAATTGATTTGTATTGATAATTGCCAATAATTCGTGGAAACAGCAAAATTTTCTCGAAAAATTCTGATAATCAATTATTTCTTACGAAATGAGAATTTCAATTTCTTCGAAGGGACTCATTTATCGGTATAATCGAACATCGAATAATAAAATAACACTCTTCTTCCGTTGCTTAAGCTTTTGAAATTTGCTTTCTTTTAAAGAGCCCTCACTGTTGCTGGTTACGCTCGCACCGCTGGCCTGCATTAGACAAGTAGGGAGTCGCGTAACGATAGAAGCACAGGTGAGTCGCCAGCATCACCCGCATCTTTACTCCTGCGGTGAGCAGAAGCTCAGCATCGGTGCTCCGAATTGAGCAACAGCCCACCGAGCCATTCTACTTCCCTGCTTTCGAGAACTAGAGTGATGCTGGTGTTAGTTAATGCCATGCGATGCCATAATTGAAGATAACCATTCCTTTCTCCACCATCTAAACTCATATGTCGCCGCATTCACAATCCTATAAATGCACACTTTGAGTGAGGAAAGCAAATTTTAGAGTAAATTTGCCGGATTTTCGAGCATTGGCCATTTCAGTCCTTTAATTATACGAAGCTAGTAGTCTGAAATAAAAATCTTTCTTCGCTTGTTCAGCAAGTAACAAAACGGATTAAAATCCTTAAAAGAAATTGGCCTTATGCCAGATGAATACTTAGCAACCAATCAACAAGGATAACCGAGAATGACATTTTCTTTCTCTTCTATTGTTAGCCATTCTCAGTGATGAATTTGTCAATAAATAATTAAAGCTAATTTATCAAACCAGTTTTAAAAATTTTTGAAATTCCCATTTGTAAATAATTTTTTGACGAGTTAGTTTATTTATAGGATTTTCTAGACATCTTCATAATTTCATTTGCATAGTACGATAATTTTGTTTAGAAGACTTTATAAAACTTTTTAACATTTGCACATCAGCAGGCCACTTCATGGACCTTGCATTTAGCTTCCTAACATTTGCACATCAGCAGGCCACTTCATGGACCTTGCATTTAGCTTCCTAACATTTGTAGACCATATTTCGCATATTTTGCATGCAACAAGAAAATGTTATTTGTAAGCATTATAATTGTCTTAATTCAACAGTGATTTATTCTATTCTACTCGCGATATATTAGCATATTTGAAGATCCAAAGATTCAAAACTCAAATATACATCGACAAGCCTCTTTCGTTTTTAGTTACAAAAGGCTACAAAGACTTGAAATTAGCTATTAGTTTTAATAATTATCAAAGAAATTCTTGATGAAATAATCTTTGTGGAAAAAACTTTACACTGTACGTTATCATTCAAAACGTATTTTTCGAAAGCGTATTTATCTTATATAACTTTTCTTTAATAAAACTCCCATTAATAAAAATAAAAATTAATAAAAATTTTTTTTGCAGATGAAATCACATAAACATCATCAAATATCATCAATTGATGAGAAAATTGCCTTGATTAACAATTCCAAAAATTTTATCAAACGGTATCATTCAGATAATCCATGTAAGAATTATCACTTCACTATGAAAGAGTTTAAATCCCTACTAATAAGTGACAGAAAATGCAATTAAAGATTTATTGGAGGCTACCATTAGTTAGGTTCGAATGACTTATATTCAAATTTTTTGAAAACTCTTCAGATAAAAATATCTCCTACCTCCTATTATATTCAGCAAATTTCAATTAATAATTATTTTATTTAATTTCGTTTAAAAAGGATAAGCTAAAATAGTCAATAAAATAATTAATAGTTAATGATTTTAAAAATTTAATTTATTATTCACATAAAAAGTGCTAACCAATTTGCGATAGATGTTGCAGACAAGGAAACTACTTTATTTGCACCGTGGATTTCTCCACTGAATTCAAACCTCGTATTAGAACGACGACATAATTCAAGGTCAAATGAAAATAGAACACAGTCAGAAACACTAGTACCTTTAAAAATGAATTATAATCGGCAAGGTGTGCAAATTTAATAAGTTTCTAAAAAGTATTGCTTCTTAGCTTATTTCATAGATTTAGAAAATTTTATTATCATTACATTAATATTTTTTAAGCATTAATATATCGAACACCTCGAGGAAGATCAACTGATCGTATTTCTGTCGATGATTTGCGTGAACAGTTACTGACGTTAAAAAAAGTAGAATAATCAATTTCTTCATTCGAAAAAATGGAATGGTTTCATAGTATATAAACTATTATACTTTTATATATCATTTTAAATGTTATTCTTACTTATTGAAGGTTATATAAAATTATATTAGACTTGACAACCATAAAATCCTCTTTATCACCATAGTTTTAAGAGCGCTCACCATTTCTGGTTGGCTGGTTGCACTCGCTAGGACCGTTTTGCCATAGAGATTTATTGTGGAATGGAATATAAATCCAATTCATTTTGGTATTAAAAAAAGTCAAAGTCAATATTCTTCTGAAATTTCACTGCGGCATTCAATTTATTTATAATAATTATTAGTTATAAAGTATTTAATTTCTTCTTGCAAAGAATGCATGGAAATTTAATTTTTCGTATTTATTAAAAAGAACACTTTTATTAATATTTCATAAGAATATTTTTAGAATTATGCAGTTATACTGAAAGAAAATACTTCATTGAAAATGCGTTTAAGACGGTCGATTAAAGATAGAATTCGATTGGGTAACAAACTGGAGAAAACAATTTCTGAAACTGTAAGAATCGATTTTCAGGCTTAAAAACGGGGTCATTTATTTGCGAGATATTGAAAATAATGATTCTTTGGCAATGATTCTTCAATAGGACTGGAGAAATTTCAAAAAATTTCTATTTTATAAATCATCTTCCTCAGATACAACTTATTCAGGGTACCACTTTGAAAAATGACGGTTCTAAAGAAAGTACAAAGTTACTGAAGCAAAAAATTGTTAAATACGAGGTGCTTTTAAAAGAAAAAACAGAAGAAATTAAGTAAGTGAATTTTTCCATAGAAAAAGCGCAATAGCATAAGAGTACAGCCAGTTCAGGTCCAGAGGATCTGAAAATTTAAATAGACTTTCCTCTTTTCTTGCTATTTTCTATGATAATTTGTGGCCTGATTATTTTTTATTCCCATTCTAATTTGTTTTTTAAGTTCTTTTTAAGTACTTATCTATTTTCAATTATTTCTCATTTTCGATTGTCTGAACTAAAGGAAAATTTTCAGTAAGTTGAAAGATGATAGAAAAGCTATGAAGGTCTCTGATTTTCGTGAACAAATTCTTACGCTTCAAGAAGAATGTTCAAGGCTTAGAAAATTTCTTAATCAAGCACCATTCGAGTGGTTATTTACTATTACTATTATTGTTATTATTATCTTTATTGTTTATTAATTATTATTAATACTATCGCTATTTATTATTTATTATTAATATTATTATTTGTCTATTATCATTATCAGTTATTATTTATCATTAAGTATTATAATTGCTGTTATCAATTATATATTTGTTACTTGTTATTATTTTTATGTTATTATTAATTATAAAATGGCTTTATCTTATTCTAAGATAGAAATACTCTAAACGTATCAAATGTATAATACTTACTGCTAATTTTATCAGTGTTTTAAGATTTTTTAGAAGACTATCATTCTTTAGTGCTTATACAAGCAGCTGCGATTGCCATAGTGCAAAAAACTCTTAAACCTGGGGAATCACTTGTACTTGTGTCTTTAATGATTCTCCATAAAACGACCTCATGAAGATGTCAGAACTAAATAATAGTTCGTATTGTTAGAAAAAGAAGAAAGAGCTTCTAGAACCATTGCTTCTTTCTAATTTTATTTTAGGCAAAATGATAAAATAAATCGAGAGAAGACAAGTCGATTATGTGCAATAATCAGCGAATTAAGAGCAGAAAATAATCGTCTTCAACAAGAAGTTCGGACAATTATTGCTCTAAAAAGAATGGATGATCAGTGTAAGTATTTATAACGTACTTACCTATCCTGAGCCGAACTTTGATGTCCATTTATCATATTACTTTACGGCGAACACCATACTCACTCAAATTTAATATTACTATACTATAAGAATAACAAATATTTTCATCAAACTAATGCGAAACGTGTAAAATCTAAATTTCAAAATTTTCTTTTTCCTACATTGTTTTTAATATAGCCTTTTTAAAAATCCGGGTTAAATAGGAACCTTTCATCGTATAATTCTTAATTCATTCTTAGCACTTAAGGCTTAAATTCTGTTAGTTTACTATTTATAATATCAGTTGCGAAAAGTATAATTGCTCTCATTAATAGACTACTCTATCTTGAAGATATATTATCGATGAAACGTGTTGAATTAATTTCTTTAATACGTGACATAAAGCAAGGCATATGGACTGATTACAATCAGAATAATTTAACAAGATCGAATGAACAAAGGCTAAATTCATTAATGAATATTAAAGAATATCGAAAAAAATGTAGTTCAAGGTTTCTTTTTATAAATTTAAATTTATACTGAAACCGTTGAAAGAATTGAGAAGGAAGTTGAGTTATTAGCTAAATAGAAAATAGGAGGGCTTATAATCAGTAAACAATAACCGCATACAGTGTTTTTTCAATTTTTTTAAAGTTTTCAAAAATAGAGTATAATACTAAGGTCAAGATGGGAATTGTCTCATTTTTATTTTGACTCAAAAGTGGCATTATTAAGGTTGAATGATGATATGGAAGGAAAAAAATGTTTCCAACTTGGGCACAAAGACAAGATTCCGGATTCGAGTCATGATAACAGTCATTCGTACAAAAAAAGTGAATATAAAAATGCAAATAACGGTGAAACCACAAATAACGATGAAGAAGATGAGATACGTTCTTTAGCCAAAGCGAGTAGTTCCAATGCAAATGTTTTAGAGAAGTAAGTAATTGATGCAACACAAATTGCTATAAAAATCTCGTAAAATAATTCATGCTTCTCCGCAAAAAATTTAGAGCTGTTTTACAAGCCAATATTTCAAGTGATAAAAGTTCATTTTTCATTAAAATATATCAAAAAATTTTCAACTGTGATATTTTGCATTATATCATTTTTATTGCTGCTTATACTCATGCTTATCTTTTTCTGCTCGTTCTTTCTTAATAATTGTATTGTTCCATAATCAATAGGCGATTGTTAACCGATAATTTCTTTAATGGTACTGTATTATTAATTGTTATTATTCATCGAGGAGCCTACTCGATTTTTTGAATAAAATCCTAGCTTGCAAGCAATGTTATTGAATTATTATCATTAGCAAGAAGCAGGACGACCGAGTGATTAGTAATGTAGATTATCGTAGTCAGTGGCTTGGTTCTTGCTTGCTACAGAAATAAACTATTATCAAAAATCCGACAGGTGCCGCCGATCTGTCTTCTGGCTTCAAATAATTTCATAAAGTTTCTAAAAGTTTCTTAATAAAAATTTTTTTTAAAGTTGTATTTGGCGAAGCGAGCCTAACTATAAATAATTGCTGCTAATCATTTGCTTACCACCATTATCATTCTAGCTATTATATTCTAGCACAATCGATGAACTAGGAAATCAGGATACACAAGTAATAGAATCTGGTGATAGACTGAATATCTTATCAAAACCGATGGAGGACAATACATCGCAAAGTATGATTTCGATTTTCTATTAAATTTTTTTTTACAGGTTTGCATTTAATAGTTTAAATATATAGAATGGAAAGAAATCTTTTTTCGATTCAAATTGTTGCAAAAAATTGCAACTAATGAAAAATTTATCGAAATAAGAAATAATTCTTTTTCTTCAATTTTGATTTTACCATAAAAATCTCTCATTTATCCGTTGAAATAAGCAAAAATGATTTAATTTATTTTTTTCTAACAACTATTCTTATGCATAAGAATATTTTTTTTCATTTTTTTTTTTTGTGGAAGATGGTCATGAAAGTGAAATCGATGCAACTGATCAACAAATCGAAGAGAGTAGTTCAAAAAATTCAAGTAGTTTGCATACAACAAGCCAGGAGGTAAAGTATTGAGGCACAGAACTACCTTGTTTTTTCCAGCTACAAAATATTCACAGCTAGAGCCATATTTATTGAGAAAGCTATTTCATGCGGAAAATCTCCATTATTCATTAACCGGAAATGTTGCTAATGTCATACCTATTTGTTTTCGCTTAACGAACCATCATAAATCACTTATTAATCAGATTTCTTTACCTAGTTATGAATACCTAGTTTTCAAGCTAAAAATATTGGATTAAAGTACTTTATAAAGAAAATACCCAGAAATAAATTATGCACAAACTTAGCCTACAAAGTTAAGCATTTTCAAGATTTTGCAATACAACCGTTTTTACGGATTTTCACGAAATTCTTTCTTCAGATTATCGCAGATTCTGATATGGATTTCATCATCAATACAATCTTGGAACATCTTCTCCGATTACAATTTATTGACTACTATAAAAGTTATCACTAAGGAGGATTATCATTACTTTTTGGTCAGAAGTTATCATGGCTTTATTTTTTAGTGAGTAAAAACTGGTAAATAAATAAATAATCTTAAAAGTTGTTTTGCTATACTATATGAAATGTACATCATTAATTTGATAATAAAGAAAAATCATTAATTTCTGAATATTTCTGAATATTAACCCACTTTCCCAATTTGTCAGTGAGAAGAAGCGCGAAGGACATATGAAGCTAAAAGATCTGATTTGGAAAAATTTGTTTATTTGAAACCCGAAATGATATAGCGATTACAGGATATAGGATATATAAGAAGGTAGTGTAAGGGAAGAGCGTTCACAGATATTGTGTTTTCAGCAAAAGGATGAGAACCTGCCTATAAAAGTACGATATTTTCGAATAAAATTTCATCGAAATCGCGAAAACAAGAATACAGACTTCCTTCTACAGTTTTACATTTTATTTATTTAGGCGTAATAAATTTTTTACCATCAAAAACCACTTAAAAACCTATAATTAGATTAGTAATAAATTAGGCTATTCTTGAGTCAAATGATGGGGAATAAATTATTATTTGATTTAAAATATATCTTGTTGTTTCAGAAATTTTTTTTATTTTTTTAATTTTTTTTGTATTTTTCCTGTTGTATAATTCATCACCGATTTCAGAAAAAATTTACCAGAAAATTTTTTTGCATTTGAGCATTATTATATTTGAAGCATTAAATGTTTTCGATAATAATCATTGAAAGAGAATAAAGAAAGAAGTAACATGTAGAATATTTTAGTTTATTTTTCAGTGGATTTTGCGAATTATTATGTCAAATTATAAGTAGGATCAAATTATAAGTAGGTCATCATAGTACGAGTGAATTTCCAAGCTTTTGTTGCTACCTTGAAATATTAATGTATGTTCCGATTATCTATAAAAATTAACTGATAATTTTGCAGATGATAGGAATAGCGAGATAATTTCGGGAATAGCGAGATAATCATGTATTGAGCCTACTCATCAGACTATTCTAAAGGAAAAATCTTGTAAATGCTTCGTTTTAATAGTTATCGGACCAGTTTAACCACAAATAATAACAGCTTTTAGAAAAAGTAATAAACTGGGCTACTCTTGAGTCAAATGTTGGGAAGTAAATTATTATTTGGTTTAAAATATCTTCTTGTTATTTCAGAAATTTTTTTAATTTAACTTTTATATATATATAGGTACATTTTAGATAGATCGAAAAAGTATTTCCTTGTAGATCTGGCTTCACTGTTGAAGAGTGCTGGGAACTCATCTGAATATAAAATAAACCTTCGTGAAATCTTTAAGGAATAGATGAATCAGTTATCCTTCATGATTATTCGAATTTTTATTTTATTACGAGAGATCAAGACTTCAACCGAGCATCGAAAGTTTAAGCATAAATTTTATGCATGCTTAAATATAAATACAGTACAAATAAAGTTTCATAACAAGAATTGATGATGAAGTAAATTTAAATAAATTTAAATTTAAATTTAAATATAAATATACTTGACATGTGTTAAAAAAAGAATGAGATAAAAAAATTTTTTCTTTCTAATGACAATTTAATGTTTTCTAGAAAAATTACGAACATAAGGACTAATTAAAACGTTTATACTAACGAAAAAAATAATGCATGATAGAACAAAATAATAATAAAAAGTTGGCAAAAAAATAAGAAAATATCTAAGGAGGCATAGTGGTTGCTTATGAATAAAAGCAGCTCGAAATGCCCATAAAAATTAGCCAACAACTAGTGAGAAAGATAATTTACATCCAAAAATCTAAGATCGACTGGTTTCTTATTAAATTTATAAGAATCCCTACTAGAATTTCAAATTAACATTAATCTCACAAATTTATTGTCAACAGGTATTTAACAGATATTTAAAGTTAATTAAGAATTCATTTATTTGCAATACTTTTAGAAGGTTGTTAAGATCAATTAACCTTAAGATATCTAAAACTCAATTGGTCATAATATGTTTATATTGCATAGTAAATAAAAATCATTCATACCATCTAAATTTTAAAAATTTGCCATTGGTAAGAATTCCAAGGCAACATTCCTCAAATACGAATATATCTGATTTGTTTCATATACTTAATAAAATATTAGTGCTTCGTTTTGGTTGAACTGGTCCATAATGTCGCCATGTTGCTGAGAACTGCAAGCATGAATGGCCAAGTGCATTACGTCTTATCAGTAAATAATCTAGTAGTAATACAATAATAATTAAAAGAAAACATCCACCAAATACATAACATGCCCATATTGGAATGCCCATTAAAAACTGCGACATTCTTGTGTCACTTTTTTGTCAAATATCGTCGCCAATTTTAAGAGAAAAATCAAAAGCAATAAAAGGCATGATAAAGCAATAAAGCAATTTCAAAGAGAATTAGGAATGAATTTTTGTTGTGTTACTTTCACAAATATCCTGAAAAAATTTTTTTCCCGAATTAATCAATAGCGTAGATAGTTAAAACGGAATGAAATATTGAAATAAAGAATGCTTATGAAATGCAATATGTATTCGATCAAAAAATTGAAAATAAAGAATGAATCCACGGATTAAAAAAATCGATGTGAAAAAACAAAAATGATAAAAAATAATAAAAGAAAAATATCCTTTTAGTAGCATACACGATTTTTATTTTGGCTGATTCTATCCGTGATTAACGCGAGTCCTTTTCGCCAAAGAGGCATAAGTTATTTGCGTCTCCAACATCATTAGGATTTGTTTAATGTTCATTCTTTTTACACTTTTTATTAAAATTATTAGTAATTTAATGAATAATTTTGAGAAAAAGTAGGGCAAAAGTGAAACAGTGAAATTTAGATTGAATTCTTTTCTCATAAACTGTATTCTAATTTAATATTGTTAGATCCCTATTAAATATAAAATTAATTGGATTAACCTCTTTTGTTTTAAAATTTTGGGAAGATGAATTACTTTAATAATGATTTCCAGATTGAATTCTTATCTGTAAATAAGTATTTCACTGTTCAGATAAACTATAGCTAATTAACTAGACAAACCTAGTCAGAAATGCTCTGACCACTTATTTTTCCATGTAATATTGCTTCGACTACGCTATACGACAATTTGTGTCTTCTATTGCGAGGAAAGCTCTTTCTTTGCTACTCTGACGTTAATGGGAACTCATCTATCTTTCTAATCCCACATGATTTCTTGGCAAAATGGAACCCTAATCACCTAACAGCTTGAAGCAAGACAAAACAGGAATGTTATTAGAAGAAAAAAATTTCTGAAATACTTATTTAAAATAAAGAAATATATAGCTTCGAACTTTGAGATGTAGAGATGAGATTTATAGGAAAGATTGACTTTTTGGGCCAATTTACCAAATACTAAAAACAATTTCATTGTAGTCAAAATGAAAAAAAAAATCCAGCAGTGGTTTTATTTGCATACAGTTCTATCGAATCATGAAAAAGAGAATCGTGTTTCCATTTTTCATAATATCATAGATATGAAATAATTTTCCAGTCAATTTGCATACAAAAAATAAGTATTTCATTAGCACTAAGATTGTCTAATAGAATAAGACAATTTAAATATCGATTCATTGAGAAAAAGAAGTTCAGTCCAAACTATTATGCGGAATTTTTAATGATCTAGTGCTGTTGAACGTTGGTGCTAATCTAAATAACACCACTCCACCACAATGCAACAGTAAATTTAACAATAATACTGAAAAAAGAGTGGTAAAGTTTGCCTTCTGTCTGCCTTTCTGGCAAAGATTTTCAGTATTTTTAATAATTAAAATTATCCTTTATTCATTTTGCACAGATTTTATCAACTTTATGAAGTTATACAGTGAAAAAAATTATGAATAGAAATTAGCACTTTATAGATTATATATACATAAACATATGTTAATCATGAATTTCACCATGAATTTTTTCTATAAAAGATTAAATAACTTTTCGAGAATGGTTAAAGCATTAAAGCATTTTGCAGCGTTCGTATGTAAGTCTTAAAAGTGATCATAAAGCCATCGATTTAGAACCTCTAAATTGACTTTTATTGAATTTATGTTTTGTAATTTTCATCGCAACAAATTCTGTCATCTTTACGATATAATTTTTTCTCTATCCATATCACCAACTCAACACATTATTAATGGTGTTATATTACTGATTTACATTAATATTATATTGAATAAGTTTTGTATTGCGATAAAATCTCCGGCAACTATATATATATATATATATATATAGAAATTTCCTTTCAATGTCCCCATTAAAGCAGCTAATATGAAACAAAAAATAAAAAAACATGAAACTGGCTGCAATCAACCCTTGATTATCGGTGGAGAAGTACTCAGACAATAAATTTAAGGATATGTAAAAATGCGAATAGGACCCTCAAGATAGTTCTTACCACCACTATGACAATGAATTGTACACTACTGTAATTCTGAAAATTATTAGAATAGCAATGCATGATATCCATGGAAAGTGAAGAATAAGATCAAGACAGAATAGAGAAATTAGCTGGTAGAAGGATGTGGAGATTAAGGATAGGATACACCTAGTGAAAAAAATACAAGGGCCATATTCCATCGAAAGATTACTGAAGGCTACTGAAAAAAGTAGAAATTGAATAATATTGAAATAATGTATAGGAGAAAAGATAAATTCATAATATGCAGTGTCGTGGCTGCAGGACCTAAGGATAAGCCACATTAATCTCTCAGAAGAGGAATGTGGTTAAATCAAGTACAGGCATCTACAGGCATCTAGCGAATCAAAAAACTAATTGCAGCTCAGGACCTCTAGCACAGATGAAGCAGCTACTAGTAGCATGCTCTTATTTAAACTAGTTAAGACAAGGATGAACCAGTATTGGCTTTCATAATAATACCATTCAACCACATGGGAGTTTTGGATGTCTGGCTCTATACGAAGTTAACAGGATCCTAAGGAGCTTTACCAAGAACTGTAGAAAACATTAAAGTCAACATAAAACAACTTGTACAAGTCCAGCATAAGATAATGAACTGTTCCCGCTGTATTCTGTATATGTCGAAATTCTAGCCAGAGAATCATAAGAAGTGGTTATGGATATAATAAGTTCAAGAACCGAACTACCACCAACCATCTTCTTTACAGGGAAGACATTATTATTAGTCCTATAGAACTATATTAGTCCTAAAAGAGACATATTGAGCCACTCATGCAACTAATACGAATCTCTAGGACATTGGAACACTAATCGGACTGAAGAAAAGGATGGCAGCAAAGAAAGAAAAATTAATTATTTAAAAATTTTAACGTTTTATTATAGGAAAAATTGGTTAAGTCCGATAGAGTAGACCTATCAGCGAAGTACATAAGAAATTAATGAGATAAATAAGTTGGCATTCAACAATTAAATCGGTAAAAAAGCAAGGAAGCAACATTTAAATATTTATTTCTACTATAAGATAGATCCTTAAAACCGGGTTCAAAGTTCTAAGAAAAAGAAAAAGAAGATCCATGTCATAAACATGTGTGCCTATCAGTCGCCAGTTACGCAACTGGTATGGTGAGATGATCAAAGGAAAAGATAGAAGCTGACCCGAAAACTCCCTACAATGCACGAAAGTTTCCATTCTAAGAATTCGAGATTACATCGAGTAACTGGAGGAAGTGCCATGGCAAAGCAAGATCTCGATGGGGTGTACCATCTGCAGAAGGCGATTGAAGCTGACATTGAGAAATCCTACTGGTGGCTGAAAAAAAGCTAGGCTAAAAAAAAAGCATTGAAGCATTAATCATAGTAATACAAGAATAGAACCTAAGCAAATCCATCGAAGCAGAGAAGCAAGGATGTACCATATCAGATAGAACTCAAGGTGCATAGGAAGATTTCAGAGATTATACAACTCATAGTGACAAGATTTGAATGCAGAGAGGGACAGCATACATTAAACCAAATAATATTATCTACAGGAATATATTGGCACAGTATATAGGCTGATCTCAAGAAACTGGAAATTTCACAGAAAAACGTGGAAAATGGCAAGGCATAATCGTGTGGGACTTTCCGATATAGATGGAACAAGCAATTATTAGCCAATTATTCGGACATCGTGATAACTGATAGGAACTGCAAAAAACAACGGTGATAGATATAGCAATACCAAGAATATCACGAACGAATGTGAGGTGAGGAGATATTAGAGCCAAAGCCTTGAATAAAAATTAGAGAAAATATGAAAAAAGTGGAGGCTAAAGTAATAATAGCGGAGCACACAACGCTTATCCTTGAAAAAGCTCAAACAAATTTTAAGAAGAAAATGTCGCAAAACCATTAATCACCCAGACCTTTGGTGTGGGATCCGAATTTGATGAAGGCTCATACAGAAGAATTTTTCCTTTTTTTTATTAGGCAGAATCAAATTTAAGAATCAAAGGTCTGTTGCGATATCTTTGGGAGGTGTTGGGAAAGCTTTTTTGTCCAAATGGCAAGTACCATCTAGCCGAAATCCAGTGCTGTTAAAAGAACGATATATCTACATCATAAATTTCAAAAATTAAAAATCAGAACTGCGAAAAAGGAGGGTATTAATATAATATCATATTTAGAAAATAAAAAAATCATCTAGAAAATTGTGAATCGCACCAATTAATGTCTTTAACTAATCGGGAATCTGCGATAAATAAATATTTTTCGCTAAGAATCTAATAATTTTTTGGAAGAAGCAAACAGTGTTCTCTTTAGCCCACTAATGGAATTTATCTTATAACAACATTTTTTTCTTTTGTTTTCCATTTGCGTTTCTATTCACCTTATAAATGATGCTATTTTGCTGAATTCTGGATGAAAATTCCCTCCTCTAATGGCGAAATGAAATAAAAAATAGTGAATGGTTAGTAAAAAAATAATTAAATACCGATTTTAGCTGTTTAGGTCGTTAAAAAGCTGAATTATTTGCAAAAACAAAAAAACCTCAGCCAATTTCGAGGATATTAAAAATTCGCAACTTTCGCATTCTTAAAGTAATTATGCTATTTCACTATATTATTACATAAACTACTCGGAAAAAAATGAATCCCTCACTTCAGCCAACTTGGAATGAAGCGCTCTATGTTAATATTAACCATTAATAAAAAATAAAAAAATAGGCCTGGCAATTAAAAAAGAAACGCAAATAGTTAATCACAAATTTAATCGTAACTGGTTTATCACAAATTGAAGAATAGAATATTTGATCATATGAAATAACTAAGTAACGAAGCGATTATTGCTCATTATTCTAGGTTAAGCTACTAGCTTCACTGTCAACACAGTGAGAAATTTTGGCTAGGGAGTCATGTAACATCTATTGTGGTAATTCACCAGCATCATCAGGATTTTTTAGCGACGTTCATTTCTTTTCAGTTTATAAAAATCAAATTCTTGTCTCTCATGAAAGTCACCAAGTGTTCGATTATCCTACCTAAATTTTATAAATTTTTAGTGGATTGTCCTTTTTTCTCTCATAATTTCTTTTGAGAGAAAAAGATAAAGGAAAAAAACTGAAAGAACTAAATTCATGTAGGAAATGAAATATAAATAGTTGGCATCTAATTGTTTAAGAGCAATCGAAAAAAAAAGAATTTAAATGGCTAACCAGCAAGCCTACATTTTTTATTTTAAATTCATTGCATATTTTGAATTTTATAAATGGAAAAGATAATTTGAATGGAAGAAAATCGAGACATTTTTATTTCTCCACTCGACAATCGATTTGATAAATTAGACTTAATGCAGATGAAATAGTCGTGAACAGAAATTCCATTTCTGTTTTCTACCTATCCATAGCAGTTTTTGTTATGCACTTCGAAGTAACTAGGATAAGGATAAAAAGCACTTGAAACTAAATATTTTTGATAAAAAAATACTTGTGACCAAAAAAATAAAAATATTGGTTAATAATAGAACTGCACTCCAGATTATGGTTGATAAATAAAATGCTGGTCATTGCCTGGTACAGAACTAAAATAATACAAACTGAGTGATAGAGATCGATTTTTACTTATTGAAAAAATATTTCATTGGCAATGCATATACAGGAGTGGAAATTCAAATTCGCCAACATTTCAAATATATGAAAAATTTTTACCATAAATTTTTTTATTATACTAGAAATTTTCGATGAAATGTGGAGCTATCCAGCTTAGGTTGCTAATTTTAGGTAAGGCTAGTGAAAATTTAAAAACTAACAAGGATCATTATAGATTGAAATTACAATTCACATAATACAATACAATGATATTTTATATAGTATGGAATTCAATATTATTGTTTAATTTCATTAAATTTAATATTAATATAGAATTTAATATAATATTGACAAATTGAATTTGTCGTTATTCGGAAAGTTCGAATTTGGATTTGAAACCGCATTAGAAATGAATTTCTCAGTCTAAAATGAAGGTTTTCGAATCTTCTAAATATTCCATAGTTTACGCATAGAAATGAAAAATAAATGAAAGCTTGTATGACAAATAATATAATTAAGTTTTCAGTCTGATTCGAAGTCATTAGTTCGAAATGAGTGGATAGGATATAATTTAATTTAGTTTTGCATTAAATCGACGAGAATAAATAATAAGAAATAATGAGTAATTTTATCAGAAAATTACAAAAAGCCGGGCTGAACGATTATTTTAATGGTGGTAATAATTAAAGTTTTATACTTGATGAGAGTTTAAGAAAATAATATGGATTTTTTAGTGCTGTAGTGATAAATTTGCCCGTTCACGAAGAAAAAATCTTAACAGAAAAATAAAACCAACATTGTTTATCATTGTTTATTGAAAACTAGCCAAGCAGGGCGACAAACGCTTATATTTAAAACAACATTAAAATAATGAATAATGATAAAAAATTAATAATAAGAAAAGAAAAAGATAATATAATAAAAAGTAACAATTTAAATATAATATAACAAAAAGTAACAATTTAAAGAGGAGATAAAGATGAAATTACAAAATAGTGCAATATAGTACAATTCGAATTAATTGTATAATACATAAACGGATGGTAAAAATGGAGATTTCAAACTTCCTGCATGATGTGAACTTTTTAAATAATATCATAAATGATATCATCTAATCTTTTTTTAAAGATAGCTGAGGATGACGCACAACTACATCGTTCAGTATTTTATTTCAGTAATTAATAGTACGAATAAAGAAGTGAGCCCTCAGTTTAATTTATATAGGTTTTAGTAATTTTAGCCCATTAGTTCTTTTTGGATTCAAATTTAGCTTAAAATTGCAATATTTTGAACAACATTTCTAATTTAACGTAACCATATAAAATTTTATAAGTATAAATTAAATTTTGTTTACTTCGGTGCATTGAAAGAGGATCTAGGTTGTATTGATAAAGTTGTGTTTTATAATTAAAATTGCTATAAGGAGAAAGGCGACGTTATATGATTTACGATATCTCGAGGAGTAACGGGTAATAATGAGTAAGAAGAGGCCGAACGAACGCTTTGTACATTTTGAGAAAAACAACATGTAAAATAAAAATAAGCAAAGCGACGACATTAATGGTATATTTTTTATGAAATTATAAAAATGGAGGCTATTTTCGAAAAATTTTCAAATCCATTGATCAGTTTATTTCAATGAACTAAAATATTCTGATTTCTTGAATCTTCAAACAGTTTATCTGCAAGTGCAATGAACAAAAAGATAAACCCGAATATACGAAATTATATTTTCACTCCAGCAGCATATGCACGAAAATGAAGATTGCCCTCGTTATTTAAATTTTTGTCAGTTTATATCGATCGGAAATATACAAGAAAAATTGGAGATGGACGCAGCGATAATTTTCCGCATATCGGCATTAATTTTTAAATGCAGCTAAGCCATTAATTAATCGAATTATGGAATATTTATTGGCAAATATGAATGCGAAATTCAAAAACCAAAATGATTAGTAACTTTAAAAATTTGAATCTATGAAGCAATTTGTCAAAATTCATCGAAATGATTGGGTAAGGAAATAAAGCAGATGGAACTTGCGAACATATAAATATAATTTTTCTAGAACTTTTTTTCATCGCTAAATTAATTTAATCAAAAAAACGATTTCATACACGAACATTTGTAATCTTTTCATTTTATGAAGAAACTATAAAAATTTTCGGATAAAAAATGGAATAATGTATGAACGAAAAAATTTTTTTTAATTTAAAAACTGTTAGTACGCTAGCCGTTCGTTTCATCAGTCAGTTTTTTGCTATGCAATAATGCAATTTTATTTTATGAACAAACTGAATGATTTTTTTGGCAGGAATTGGAATATTTCCATTTTGCATTTCGTAATAATCCGTAAATTTTAAAAGTTTGTAGCAAATTTCAGAAATTGAAATAAAAATAAGTCAAAAAAAATGACAAAACGTAACTTTGATTATTCGCTCAAATCATTTGACTATTTATTGATAATTTCAGCTGAATTCAGTAAGTTAATAACAATTTGTATTGTTCAAATAGTTCAAAAATTTGATTTGAGAACAGTTTAAGCACATAATTTAGGCAATTCCTAAATGTCATTCTCTTTAAATAGATGCTACAAATTAAATTTTTGGATTCTTTGTTTCATTTATAGATCAGCAATTTTTTTTAGAGCCCTCACAATTACTGGTTTGACTCGTTGCGCTGGCTTGTCGCACTGGACAAATGTGTCAGGGAGTCCCTAGGCGATAGAACCACAGGTGAATTAGCAACACCACCAAGATTTTTGGAGAATTTACTCCCACAAGGAATAGAACCTCAGCCTCACTTTGATCTGAGCAACAACCCACTGAGCCATTTTATGCTCCCCAGTAATTAGTGGTTAATGATCACCATTTCCATTTCTATTTACGTTCATTCCACAGGCTAAAAATAACATAGTCTCAAAACAATTTATTGAAAATTGACCGGAATATACAATATTATTCTCTGAAAAAAATTGAATAAAAAAAATCATAAAATGATCGGAAAAATGTAAATATAAATGTAAATGATATAACAGTTCGAGTGCAATGCAAGAATAGATTAGGGTTAGATTTTCATCAAATATGCCAGAAGATGAGAGCCAACAGGTGATAATAGCTTTTCCAAAGCAGCTTCTTGCTTTAAGTTTTATTTCGATTTCCGTAGGTTATATTTTTCTCTCGAACGTGAAAAAAAAAATCATTTTTGTTCCATTTCTTTCCACTTAACGAAAGCTTTTTTGGTATTATCGGAAATATTTATTGGAAGTTTTATTTCATTCTGCTTTATGCAAAGTCGTCTCTCATTTGATGCGGCAATAATTCGTGATTCAAGTGACATCTTTAAACAGTCGAATCGACTTGCCTCAAGACTTTTTGTCTTGATTTCACTGTCCTATAACTTATATCACTTAAGTCAAAGTTATTTCTGTAAATATAATTTCTCATCGTCATTTAACTGCAAAAAAGCGAATAATGCAAAAGAAAAAATAATTAAATATTCGAAAATTCTAATAAAATATCTATAAAATTACTTCTACTGAGCAGCGTATGTTGAGTGATTTTTTTTGATTCATTCCGCTGTCATCGACTGATTCCTGAATTTTTTTAAGATTTTCTGAGCTTTTCGGGGTCACATTTGTTTCCGATTTAATCCGAATTAGTGGAAAAACATTTTTTGCTGTGATTTTTGTAGGATATGACAATTGGCCACCGATGTCAGTCATTTCTTTGGTTGTTTTTTTTTTAAGTTTTGCATCACTTGGCATAGTTACTACTGTATTAATGTAGTTTTCACCATTAATAGATCTTCTGACTGAGACATTCCATATTTGCGGCGTTTTACTGATAATTTTATCGGTCGAAATCGCATTTGACAATAATCTATTCAAATTTGCTGATTCTTTTATACAGTTGATAGAATCAGTTACTGGATCAGATGCAGTAAGCGATGGTTCGCGTGAGACTTTTGGTCTTAATAAATTTTGCCTGCTGTTCTCATTTAAGTGAGGCTGTACCATGGTTCTTTCAGCGACTTTTTTCTTTGATTTTAAAGGCTTAGGAACAAATTCATTTATTGAAGAATTTTTCCCATCTTCTGTGATTGAAGCCTTCAATTGATCCTTATTTAGAGCTGGGAATTTCTTTATCCTATTGCTGCAAAATTTTCTTGGCTTTACTTCATTCTTTATGCAAATTTCTTGCTGAATACCTACTGATTCTTTAATATTGTGCTTATAACCAGTGCAAGTAGTTACAGCCGTGTGTTTTTGCATCCTTCGACGGCTAACTTCATCATTTAACTTTAGTTTCGAACCATCTGAAGATTTTTCGCAACTGCTTGATTGAAAAATCGTATTTTTTTCATTGATCACCTCAATCGCAATTTCATTTTTCTTCAATGCATTCAAAAGAACTTCACCATTGATTGGAATGGATAAATTGTATTTATTGGATTCAGCAACTGTTTTACCTGCTAATTTTTTCAGTGAATTTTTCTTTTTTGCGTCAACAGTTTTAACTTTCATTTCTATATTTTTTCCTTTTTCATCGATTCCTACAAAATTAGTACCTTGAGATGATGAACAAGGTTCGAATGAAATTGGTAGTTTTGCCTTCGATCGTTTTGAATCTATGTGTGAAACTCTCTGCACAAAATTTTCATTCAGAATGAATTTGTTTTGTTCATTTCGTGCTTCTATTTGTATTACTGACTCCTTCGGCATATAAGTCTTCGAAGATTCGTCACTAAATCGCGAATTGGTTTGAAGTCCATTTAAAATCATTTCATTCTTCTCAGTGTTCAATCCCGAATTCTGATTTTTATCAAGATATCTACTTAAATTAATTTTATCGGTTCTGCTGGGAATAATTGTTTCTGAAATTTCTTTCTCTTCTTTTCGAGCTTTTATTTCAGCTACTGCTGTCGCTTTCGACTTTATATGTACTTCCTTATCGGAATTGATACTTTCTTTTTTGTTGTTTAGAATATCAGTAACACCTATTTTTCCTTCGACAAGTATTCCTTCATTTTCCTTATTTTCCGTTTTCTTCTTTCCTTCTTTTTCTTTCTTAGTAATTGGATTTTTTCGTTCTTCCGTTATAATTTGCCATTTTTGCCTTTCTTTATTTGAGCTGTTTTGAATATCCTTTTCAGAAACAAGTTTATCTAAGTTTTTAGTTTTTTTGCTATGTTCATTGGCAAACAACATTGTTATTTCTTGACCTGGTGTAGAGATATGAATATCACGAAGAGTTCGACCAGCACGTGAGGCCTTTCGTTCTGATCGTTTATTTGCTTCGATTTTTTCAGCGAAAAATGATAACATTTTTGCTACTGTACCTGCTTTATTCATTTTTTGAATTCTTGGTTTTTCGATCTTTCTTTTGCTTAAATCTTCAACGGTATTGTTGAACTTTTTATTTGTTTCTTCTTTCTGCTTTCTGCTTTCTGCTTTCTTTGTTATATTTGAACAACTTCCATTCATCACCAAATTCGCATTTCTCATTTTTTCTTTTTCTCTTACTTTTCTAGGTGATTCTTTAAGTTTAGCATCCTAAAAATTTTCCCAAAGCTTATAGGTAAATGTTAAATTTTTTCAGCGATATTATTTCTTCATAATTATTTATGAATATGACAAATTTGTCTTTGTCATATTTTCACAATATTTTTCAGTAATTTTTTGATTTTCAAAATTTTTACCTATAATCAATTTCCAACTTACTTTTTAAACTCTTCAGAATAAAATAGAGCAATTAGTGATTGCAAATATTATTTGGACGATTTCAGTCAATCTTTTAAGTTATTCGCTAATTTGTAAAAGAATTTGATTTTTTTTTTCAGCGAGTTTTCAATTATCAATCATATTCTCATGTTATCAATCACTGATCAGTATTTCGACGTATATATATATATATGTATCAGTCGTTATCTATAGAGATGATTTTGAATGCTTACCACTTTTAATAGTGATTCGAACGCTGACTCGGTGCTTCCATTGGATAAACGAACTGACCAGCGAATAGAAGTTTGCAAGAATTCTGAGTCATTTTTAAAGATTTTTGATGTAAAAACACAGCTATTAGATTTCTTGTTATTTGTTCGAGTAATATTATTTGAATAACTTTCCTCCTTTAAATCTTTTAGACTAATAAGACCATATTTTTTGAATTTCGATAAGAAAACTAGCGCCCAAGCAGCTCTCTGAAAATTTAAAAATTTAAACAATGCAAAAATATCAAATAATAAATGCAATATTTTTTTTTGTAAAGTATATTCACCATTACTGGTTAGACTCTGCTGGCTTATTGCACATCTCACAAATGTGCCAGGGAACTCCTTAGCGACAGAAGGTACAGGTGAATCGCCGTATTAAACTGATTTTTGGACAGGTTAACCTCTGCGGAGAATAGAACCTCACCTTGTACTGAGGTTGAGTTGAGCCATTCTTCTCTTCAAATGCAAGGGCTATTTTCTTCTTATACATTTTTAAATCATTTAATTAAAGGGAAAGCAAAAATGAATTCATCTTTCACCTTTTTATCATCTGAAAACCAAAAATATTTCCAAAGTATTTCCAAACTCAGAACATACTTACTTTAAATCGTTTATTATGTATGTACGATTTGATGCTTTCTTTAGATAAAGGTTTTCCAGTATTCGGTTGGTTTAAAATCAAGTCATTGGCCGCTTTAAAACGAGATCCAACGATCCATTCATGGTTTAGGCAATCTTCTGGTAACATTCTTTTCCTAAAAAATTTCTTTTCTTTTGGAAATTTGGGAAATTGGGAAATTTTCTAAAGGAATGAACAAAAATCCATAATCCATTTGAAAGCATTCAAATAATTTGACCATATGGAATAAAAATAGGTAAAATTTTCTAAATAAATTTTCCAATTATTCGAAAATTATTTGTTTTTCTTCTCTCTTTATTAGTAATAGTGAAAATAAAAATAATAGCAACGACAGTAGTGTAACAAATTCATTATTCTTCTGTCTTCCGAATTTCCATGATTTCGAAATGTTTAGCCTGTGTCATGTCAAGCAAATCAAGAACAGAAAGTGCTATTTAAATGATATGCTCCTGAATATGAAGATGCCTATCTCATTCATAAGCGATAATAAAATATTATCATATATTATCATTCTATCTTCTTCATAAACTAGGAAATAGATCAGTGAAACAGTATGAAATAGTGCGAGGCAACAATAGTGCACCTGTTTAAACTCATAAAGTTCGCCTTGTACGATGGAAGCGATTCCTTGAAACTAACTTTGGTTGTGATTTGCCATCTGTCAGGGCATAACTGAAACATTCATTGAACTATATATTTGCAACTACGAGCCTCGACGAAAGCCAAAAACGATATAATAAAATTCATAAAAAAGGTAGTCATCTGGCTAAAATCTTCAATTTTGCCAACATCCTTCACAACTCACTTTCAATTGTGCTTTCTGATATGGAAGAAATTAGTGGAACAAAGCGCGATTTCCAAGACATTATTATCGAAAAGTTAGCCTATTAGATATCTCTTCCTTACGAAAATTTTCGTCTCCTTTCCGCTAAATTACAGTGGTATGAGATAGGATGCCACTTCATCAATTTTGTACCGCTGCTTCGATTCAATTGATGAAGCTGCGCTGTGGATGGTGATGTATTCCAGAGGAGATCATTCAACTCATAAAAAATATTTTACCAGCGTATATGTCACAAGTCTGTGCATATGAGGAAAAAAAAATCTTTCCGAATAAAAACGAGCGTTGGTCAGGTTCAGAGTCCTCTTGTCTATAATATTCAACCATGCGATTGGACTCTGGACCCTTTGGCGAACTCAAACCACAAGCATAATATCAATTTTTCAGTAGTCTTTAAATATTTTGGATTCAAATGGCTTAATGAAAGATGAAATGCAGATGAAACGGATAAGTTAATGAAATGAATTTAAAAATGAATTTCGTCTGGCAAGGCTTTTATTGCCGTGAAAATATTGTTAAAACGAAGGTCAGTCACATCTATCACCAACTGCATCAATGCGTATCATCCTTTTATATATATATATATATATAGCATAAGTGAAAGATAAAAGGTTATTTACTTTAACTAGTCTAAGGCACAGTTTAATAGTACTATCACAGAGCTTCGCCTTCGCTGAAAGCGAGGCAAGCCAATCAAGACCTGGGCTAACAACCAGGAAAGTATAAATATTTTTGAATATGTAGAGTGATCAGCAATATACGGACTTAGACCGTAAAAAACAAATTACTTCTATGTCAGCGATGGACCGAACAGCTTGAAAATATCTTACCTTTGCAGTAAGAAGAGCCAGTAATAATGCGAACAGTTGAAAGAAGAAGAATACTCTTCGAATTAAGTTAATGCTTTTGGTTATTTGATTTAATTTTTCACTTGTTTTTTTTTTCATTTATAATCAAATTCAGCCATTTTCATCAAATCTTTCACCATATTTATGATAAAGATCAAAGCGAATAATAAAGATAACTTACGTCTGGTCAATGATGAGTAATTTTGCTATAAAATCTTTTGCTGCATCAGAGATGCCTTCGAAAGCTTCTTCATCAAACTCCCATTGTCCTCTTTCGACAGCACAATAAGTTTCTCCAAGAGTATCACCGAGAAATGGAGATATACCAGACAAACTGAAAAAATCCGGAATTTGTTATTCATCATATCCATTAATGTAGAAAGATTTTAACTTCATCTCATATCTTCTCAATCATTTTAACTTATTATTATACTATTTTTGTAGGCTAATTATTATCACGAAGTGGTATTGCTCGCTCACAGGATATAAGTAAGAACGCCAATGCTCCACATATCGGTGTAAAAATCGATTGGTTCATATTTGATAACTTCAGGAGCAACAAATTCTGGTGTACCAGCCATAAATAATAAATTTGATGATCCATCGTAATATTGTGCCAGACCAAAGTCGATTAATTTGATTCTATTGCCAGTTTTTGATACACACATTATGTTTTCTGGCTGCAATTTTCAGTCTTTATTTCCACACGTTATTTATCTATTTATTCATAATTTATGATCAAATAATTCACCACCTTTAACTCTGAAAAATTTTTATCTAGGTTTATATGGGGATGAATATTAATATTTATTTACTTAAACTTAACATAATTATAATAAGAAATGATCGTAATTTATTCATTTTCGTTCTTGATAACATACTTTGATATCAAGATGTACAATATTCTTGCTATGAATATATCCAACTGCTTCACAGAGTTGACACATAATCATTACGACTGCTAACTCTGTTAATATATAGTTCTCGTCGACGACACGATCAAATAATTCGCCACCTTTAACTCTAAAAAATTTCTATCTAAGTTTATATGAAAATAAACTTGTCGAAATGATTTTTAAAGGAAAATCTTTAAAAATGCTCTATATCTCACACTTCCATGACGAGGACTATATCGTTTTCTGGTGTTGCGAATGCATCATAGATCTGCGCAATCCTCGGATGTCGCATTTGCGTCATTATTGCTACCTGAAAAGCAATTAATTGGAAATGCTGATTTTCATGAGACCAATGGCATATCTTGTGAATGCAGTTAGAATTACCTGAGTTAAAGTTAAAAATTCAATAGCTTATAATTCATCATTTTATCAGCTATATTATAATTAAAATTTCTAATGTGCAAGATCCTTAATTATATTACAATAGTAATTGTAATAGTAATTAATTGTAATGGTAACCTGAATTCTGTTTTCATAATTTTTTTTTCAGATTTGCTAAAGTATTTTGAATTTTTATGAAAGATTGTCGGATTTGAGTTTTACAAATTGGTCAGCAGTTTAGCCTTTTTAGTTGAACGGTAAAAATTCATACTTCTCGCTCAACTTTCGCTCGATCAGCATCCCTTCTTATTTTTATTCTCTTTGCAGCTAATTCAAATCCTGTATGTTTTTCACGGCACAGATATACCTTTCCAAATTTGCCTCTGAATTATTCATTTACATAACAAAGTTTTAATTTTATGTTTTTATGTTTTAATTTTGTATTTTCCTATTAGATGTTTTAAAATTAGAAATAACAGAGAAGCAACACAGAGAAATAACTTGATTTTTTCTTATCGAAAAAGCCTTCATTCGCTTTTAAATGGAGATTTTTTAAAAAATCCTGCTTAAACGCGAATCCTTTTCATTTTTGGCCTTTTAATTAATAGGCAATTCTACTACTATTCCAAAGGAAATGAGCATATAATTTATTAATTATGATCGTAAAATTTATTTATATTGTATTTCAGATATATTATATTTATAAATATATATTTTAGGAACAAAATCGAACTGAAAAATACAAAGTCAAGAAATTTATGAATACAAATTAATTAATAGGGAAAAATAAGTGTATGGCGTACTCGCCAAGCTCCTCAAGGCACTCATAATATTTTGCGAATTTCTCTTCCGCTCGAATCCTAACAACATCTTTGATTTCGAATGGAACTGGTTCATCTTCGACTAAATTTTTCTTTATATAATTATGCAAATTTTTTATGATATTAAGGATCTTTTTAATAATATTAAAAACAATATTTTTGCGATAAGGATCCTTTTTCTTATAGAAAATTTTATCTGTGCGATGGAAAAAACATTTCTTTCGCTCCATATTTTATTTAGATTGACATGTTGAAAAGTTTCATGAAAAGTCAATTCTTTTTCGAATGAATGGAAAGATATTTTTCAGGGGACAAATGAAAAATCAAGGAATTATTGAAAATTATTTTAAAAGTTTATAATAAAAAAAACTGCCTCAGAAGTTTACTAATGTTACCTGTTCTATAATCCGATTCGTCAACAAAAATTCGTCCATCATTGCTAGAAGATGAACAGTCAGTTAACGATGTATAAAATACCATTTATTAACCAATGGATAAATTATATTTATATTTAAAAAATTAGAAAAATAAAGTGAATCGACAGGTTTAAACTAAAAATGTAGCATGTAACAATCAAGGAATAACTGGATAAATAAGTTTCGTTAAATGCATGAAATATAATAAAATTCCTTGTGTTTTATGCTTATGAGTTTTATGCTTATCACGTTAAATGTTGAACGGAGAGAAAAATAGCAAAATCATAAATTAATAGGGAAAAATGAAAAATTGATAATATATTTAAGTCAAATACATTTAGGTTCGAGAATTTTTATTTCTCAATTGAATTAGTTCACCAATGGTTTTAGCAAGGGAAGAAGAAAAAACTTATAGCAAATATAATGAATATATGAATTACGCTTCACTCGACGAATGAAGGAATAAATTCTGAAAAGAACTGGAAAGAATTATCAATTTGAATCATTTTGTCTTTGAAATAAGATAGGATTTAATTAGCGTTTTCTTTGAAATGGTTTAGATATGGCTGATTCATCTGCACAAATGGCTATACATAATAAGAACAATAATTATGGAAAACTTAACACATCGTTAAAGAAATATTTGGAAATATAAGCCCACATGTAAATTCGCAAATTTCTATAGATTTTTAATGGAATGAAATAAATCGAAAAAAATTTAATAATAATGACGAATTTCGTAAAAAGTATTTACGAAAGTATTTACCCGATTTTTGCGAAAGATCTTATTCGCCAAAAATTGAACACATGGTGATATTTTAGCGATATTTTACAGAATATAACTTGTAATAAAATGAAATAAGCTAAAATACATCACATTAAATTGATTTTTAGTTAAAATTTCTTCAATATGAAATTTAATATGAAAATGAATATATGACATGGCGAAAAATACGCAGATTATAAACGCTTATAGCGACTGTTCGTCAAGTAAAGTTGGAAAGCTAAAAAGTCCGAATTTAATGTAGAAATAATGTTGCCAATGTATGAATTGATAAACTATCTGAGAGACTCGATTAATGATTTAATGAATCGCTGATATTCCTTCTTATAGGAAATTTAGCTATTAGGGCTGAATTATTATGCAAAGTTTCTTCTGTTCATGACATAAAATAGATATGAGTCGCGCAATATGCACTAAATATTTTATTAACCTATTATTAAACGTTTTTAAAAAAGAATCATAGATCGAGGGCAACTGTTCTTTCATTAGAATTTGAGATTTTCGAATTTTTAAAGATCAAGCAAAGTCGGAATTGGCATTATTCACTAAATTCATATCTCTTATTTTTTAATAGATTTATCATCAATATTCACCTGGTTCATCACAAATTTTATTCCATATAAATCAAAAACCTAAATTTTATTTATACGAAATTCGCAAATTTCTATAGATTTTTAATGTAATGAAATAAATCGAAAAAAATTTAATAATAATGACGAATTTCGTAAAAAGTATTTACGAACAAATCTGGCTTATTACTATATAAATAAAAGTATGTAAATAAATAAAGTAGATATTTGGCGCTCATTGCTTCTGGTTAGATTCTATTTCAAGACAGTTTTTCCTAAAGTGTTTGGAGAGAAGTCAAGCTGCACTGCTCGGGAGAGAAAGTGGTTTAAAGAGCACTCACCATTTTTGATTAGACTCGCTCCACTGGCTTGTCGCACTACAAATATACCAGGCGATAGGAGTGAGTCGCATCATCAGGATTTTTGAACAGATTTACTCCTGTGGGGCGCTTAGAAATAAGCAACGATCCACTGAGCCAGTCACTTTTTTAGCAACAAGTTTTCTCTTATCGGTGGCTTGGTTCGAACTTGGACCTTCGAAAAAGTAATCCGAACAGCTATGGTGCTCTACCTTTTATATTGTATATTATTGTATAGTATTAATTAACAAGAAATTAATGTCTTAAAATAGCATGTAAATAGCAATAGATTTAAAAGATCAAGGTTTAGTAATAGTCTCAAGCTATTATATAAAACAAATTTCTTTATACAGCTAGTCTTAAAAATAACATCGTTTGAATAATACCGTTTAAACCTGCATCATGCAGTTAAAATTAGGACAAAGAAACTGGAAGCTGAATAATCCAACGAGTGGTGTGTTGATTCGAGTTAAACACTACTATGAAGTTTCTAAATGTCCCTTCCATCTCTCATTAAAAGTGGAAATCAGTGGTGGATTCCATCTTTATTTATATTCCTGCAAAGTGAATCTCTGGCGAAATAATCCCACAGCAATAGAGCCAGCCAAATCTTGAATGACGAATGCTATTGGAAAAAGAAGAAAGTGGAGGAAATACTATAGTTGACAATAATTTTCAAAAAATAGAGCTAGTTTACCAGTATGGCTTTCCGCTGTTGTACATTGAAAGTTTTTGAAAGTTTTTGCTGATGATACTCGATTTTCTCGAAGAAATTAATGCATATATATAATCCTCTATCATAATCTGATACAAAAGGCGACATGAGTTAGGAATCGAAAATTTTCTATATTGAATCAGTTCCGTTTGAAACAGAAAGCGAAAATTCTTTTTAGATAGTCGTATTATGGAACAGTGAAACTCCTCGGCTAAAAGAAGGCTTTATTCTGAATCCATTTTTCATGGAAGTTCCGAATAAATTCGGTATTAACAGAGCTTATTGTAAGCAAATATTAAGTATTGAGTAAACATTCATCATTAAAAGAAAAAAAATCGTCACACTAATGGAGAAACAGTTAGACATATGGAAAACTAATGGAGATTTTAATTAAAGCAAACTGAAATCGACGAATTTTCATAAAATTTTTCTTCATAACTTTGGAAAAACTTTTTATTCTCACAAATCTTTTTCTCGAGATAAACATTCACATAAAGACGTAAAAGACATAAAAGACATTAAAGACATAAGACATAAAAGACATAAAACATAAAAGACATAAGACATAAAAGTTCGTCAGATACATGGAAAACGTAAGAAAGTGCCGAAAAAACTGTAAAATCTTGGAAGACTAAGATTTCGGCCAAAACGAGTAATAATCTTAGTCAGATAGTAATTTTAACTTTTAATTAATCGTTAATAATTAGTTAAATCTTTAATTTAAAAAAATTAAAAAATATCTCGTCTTGGATGCTCATTGGCTTAATGAATGATGATTACAAAGATTATTGATAAAAAAATCAGAAAAAAATAGTAATTCAAACAAATATTTTCACAAAAAATTTTAACTCATCATTTGAAAAAAAATCATTTTGAATAGAAGAATATCGTGAAATGATGGGAAATAAAGATAAAATAATGATGAATCAATTGGTTGATTTAATAATCTCATTTTATACCATTAAAATATTTATTTACACCAATCGTAACAAAATTTATTAAAATAGCAGAAGCCATACAATGTAAATATCATCGAATGCCACTGAAGCTCTTCACTTGAATTATTTCAGAATAGAAAAGAATGATTAAACGAATCTTTTTTTAATGATAGGACTTTTCCAAAGGATAGAAATCGGACTGGTGAGTGGGTCTTGCTTATTTCTTCTAGGACAAATGGGTGGAAATTGCTATATTGATATAAAATAAATGATATTAAAGGAGAAAATAAAGTAGAAGAAACGATTTCTAGTCAAATGCTCGTGAAAATATGAAAAATCTTTTTATTCTGCAGAAAAATAATGAATAGAATTATTGAATGAGAATCTATTTTCTCCAAAAAATATTGAATGTAATATTTTTAAATTTTAATTGCAAAAACATGGAGAAATTTCTGGTTTTAAAGTTTAAATTTAAGTTGAATTCATATATTATTATTATATTTCCTTGTTAATTTTTTTATAACGATATTTAAATAAAATTTGAATTATGCGAATTATTATTACATCCACTTTTTGAGAAAGTTTTGGCTGTTATTTTACTGTTTTTGCTATTATTGAGCTGCGAGTATCACAGTGCTCATGGTACGCAGCAAAGGTTCGATTTGATACGGATAAATGGTTGACTAATTAGGCTTGCTTCCTTGATTTTTGGCGAGTGTTTTGCCAGAGAATCGCTGGAAGGGCGAATGCAGACCGGACGTGAACATTGTTCGCACTTGGTTTCTACTGGGCAGGTGTAGTTCTGGTGAGGGGAAAAAGGAAACACTCCGTAAAGAAAAACCATAATAGTCGGAATCCGAACAAAAACCGCTCGGCTTTTCTGTTCCTACCTATATTACCTAAGCGTTATTACCGCACTTTCACTGCTTCATCGAAATTATTCATCGCAAAATTAATAAATTCAACCACCGCATTCAACAAAAGCATTCTTAATTGAAAATTGAATATGAAACAATGAAAATTATACAACTATTGAACGAATCTTTTAAGTGGCATCGAAGAATGTTTAACGAGGAGCGGCAACGAACCATCACTCATATAACAATTGCTAACAAACAACGAAATATTTGATAATATGTTTCGTGACGTCACTTCAGCTAAATTTTCATTTTTCATTTCTCATTGGTTCAAGCAAAATGCAACTTATGGCAATTTCCATAATCAGTTATCGCATGTGATTCATTTTTTAAAATCGACTTGGAATACGAAAAATTCGGACAGAACAATGGAAAAAAACAATGGTGGATCATCTGAAGCCAAATGAGGCTCAAAATGATCGAATAATCTATATCAGATGGAGATACTACTTTCGAATGTTGTCATTCTAATTTGTCGAAAAGTGATAAATTAGATTAGTTCAGTGGGTGATAATAGTTCAAACACTTGGTTCACTGTAGTATCCATCATATTTCTAAAATTTATCAGTTTATCAAAAGATGGATACAGATGCTGGATAAGCTTAACTTCCTAGTAAGTTGAAGATGGTTTTCATTACAGTAGTAGAATGGATAGGATTCAGAATATGGCATCGAGTGGCAACAGTTCAGCGCCTGCTTCAGCCCCATCAATCTGCATCTGCATTAAAAAGTTCATTTAGTGCATTCCATTTAGCCAATTAATCCTTTGGCAAAAAATTCCA